AGCGTCATTTGCAGGAAGCGCTGCTTCTATTCTTTAATATGAAGAAAAGTGCAACTGAGGCCTATCGTTTGCTTTTGGAAACTTACGGGACGGAATGTATTGGTGAATCGACGTGTCGTGAGTGGTTCAAACGGTTCAAAAATAGTGATTTAGACGTTGAAGACAAGGAGCGCTCCGGAAAACCGAAAAATTTTTAAGACGAGGAATTGAAGTCTTTGCTGGATGAGGATCCGTGTCAAATTCAAGAAGAGCTTGCTGCATCATTGGGCGTCACACAACAAGTCATTTCTCTGCGCCTGAAAGCTTTGGCATTCATCCAAAAAGTTGGAAATTGGATGCCGTACGAGTTGAAACCGAGGGATGTCGAACGGCGATTTTGCATGTCAGAAATGTTGCTGCAGTGGTATAAAAAAAAGTCGCTTCTGCATCGTATTGTCACTGGTGACGAAAAGTGGATCTATTATGATAATCCTAAACGCAAAAAAAACATATTCAAAGGCTGGCGAGCCGGCCAAATCGACGCCGTAGCGAAATATTCACATGAATAAGGTCATGCTCTGCATATGGTGGGATCAGAGGGGTGTCATATACAACGAACTGCTTCCGAGTGGTCAAACCGTCAAAGGACTATTGTATCGAACCCAACTAATTCGTTTGAAGCGAGCATTGGCGGAAAAACGGCCAGAATATCAGACCAGGTACGAGTCCGTAATTTTTCACCACGACAACGCTCGGCCACATGTTGCTGCTTTGGTCAAAAACTACTTGGATAATAGTGGATGGGAAATTTTGCCTCACCCGCCTAATAGTCCAGATTTGACGCCATCCGACTACCACTTGTTTCGGTCGATGCAGAACTCTCTTACCGGAATGCGCTTCACTTCAGTAGAGGGAATCAAATATTGGCTCAATACGTTCTTGGGCTCAAAAAATAAGAACTTTTTTTGGTCCGGAATTTACAAATTGCTAGAAAAATGGAAAAAAATTGTATCTTCCGATGGACAATATTTCGAATGAAAAATATGTAACCATTTTTTCAGAATAAACCCTCAAATTTCATGAAAAACGCTGGAAACTTACTTGTAGACTCAATAATAGTTAAAAAATGTACATGTAAAATGTTTAATTAAAATATTTTATAAGACAATTATTATAGAATCATGAAATTGACGTAAGAAAATGAAACGAGTGGTATATCGAACGAACGAACAAACGAACGAACAAACGAACGAACGAACGAACGAACGAACGAACAAACGAACGAACAAACAAACGAAGAAACGGATGAACGGACGTCAACACTTGGAGTCTCTTCAAAGAGATCGCTTCTCAGGAATGTCTTGTCGAGTATGCCTTGTGTTCTTCTTCTTAAGAGTACGCACCGGTTCCGCATTCCAATGCACCTCTCGAGACACCGCTTCGTCTTACCATTGCATGTATGTACGATGAGTCTATCGATACTACTAAAGAGATAAAGAGGTACTCTAATTTCACTAGCCCACGTATTTCGGCCAATAAATCCAACGATTTCGTACTAACCAACGTAGACAAAGTCGTAATGGCGATATCTCTCTGTTAAAACAGGGGGAGAGGCACATTACCATAGATAATAATTTAACGAAAAGCCAATAACTTAATCCAAAATGTCGCAGTATTATAATGATTGTAACCACTAGCAGGAATTAGTCTTGTCAGAGCAAAAACTAATAGCGGCTTAGGTTTTAGAGGACCTCTACGATTACAGAGGCTTAAGTCCCTAAGCCAGAAATTTACATTCCTATTACTAGCCACTGCTTGTCTGTCTTATACTGCCTAATGTAAGAAGAAATATCATTAAAGAATATTAGATATATAAATAAATATGTTTTGTGAGCGTAAGATCCATCGTCGTTTTTTAGTTATTCATGGGATTTGACCTATTTCGATGATAATAATTATGCATTTATGCGAATAATCACAAATCCTAATAATGGTCTAGAAACATAATAAATGATCACTATTTGCTTACATGCATACGAATAATGAAATGATTGTAAACATAATAAAAATATACGAAATACGAATTTAGGGATAATAAAAAGCACGTTAAACTTAAATGAATATTCGAAATTACGAGGCCATAGATGATGCAACAGAATTTCGAGTAAGTAACGACTTCATCATTGCACAGTGAGCAACTTAAAACCGAACCGTACAAACAGATGGGTCTCCATTAACGTAATTATAGTCGGTTTGAATGCATCTACGGATCGACCACGTTATGATGGGCATTGGAATCCATTAATACAGCTTCGGCTACGCGTAGGTTCATTATCGTGCATTAATTAGCAACACCCTATATCACTACGTTCGTACCGATATCGGTTCGGCTTGCTATTTCGTGGCTAACCGCGCTCTCGTGACATTCTAATCGCGGTAGAGACTATTGACCAAACCTAGCATACCGATTACTTTTTCATACAAATTAGACACGATATTTCTAATTAATCTTCCATGATATCAATAAGATTGTCAATTTCATATCATTTGCATACCTAAAAGTAATAAAATTCTATAAATTACCTTACAAAACTATATTTGCATAAAAAAAGAGAGAGAGAGAGAGAAAGAAAAATGTATTTAATTAGAGATTTATGAAACATTATTAAAAAAAAACTTTGAATAATGTCTAATGTGAAAAAGAAGTAAATATGTTGCACACATATGTAAGTAAGTACATACATATGTAGAAACAAAAAGTAAAAAAGAAAAGAGAGAAAGAACGAAGAAGAAAAGGGAGGATAGGAGTGCGACCAGAATTGGATAGGATAGAAGAACTGGTGATTACAGAGGCCGGAGATTCCCTAGGGAGAAGCACCGTTCCCGCGGGCTTCTACCTAATTCCATCCTGGCTGACTACTGACTGCATCTCTCTCTCTCTCTCTCTCTCTCTCTTTCTCTCTCTCTCTCTCTCTCTTTCTCTCTCTCTCTCTCTCTCTTCCTCTCTTTCTCTATCTGTCTCTCTCTTTCTATCCTCTCTCACTCGACCTCCACACATATATGCTTCCATCCTGACCGAAACACCTGGTCAATACATAGACACTCACGCACAACATCATACGAGTACAAACGTGTGCTGTCTGATGTGTTTATTCCCCCACCTTTTTCTCTTCCTTCTCTAGAAACAAAACTGTACTTTCTCTACCCTTTTATCTCTTATTTCCTTGCGTGTCTTTCCTATCACAAACATTTATTTCCAATATTCAAACCTTGTCAAATGTTACAAACAATTTACATTTGATCGAAAATTCAGATAGATTTCTATCATTTAAAAAGCTATGTATATAAGAAAAAAAGCAAAAAAGAAAAAAAAAATGCAAAAATTCGTAATTCTTGTTCGTTTCTATAAAATATAAACGCGAATTCATATACTCCAAATTTTGTAAAATTATTGATTACATACTATTGTCCTTAGTAGTTGTTCGTTCCTCTTCTATTGGATTTTTCTATAAAATATCCACTGTTTTAACGTACTTTATTATTCCAACATCTTGATATCACGCAACATTTAAATATTCTACCAATACGTTAGTATTTCGTAGATTGACATATTTTTCTATACACATATACGTTCATGCATATTCGCAGGACAAGTTTTTTTGTAATAAATATTACCTTAAAATGTAAAAAAATTCAAAGTTAAGTTTGAAAATATCAATAAATTTGAAAATGATTTCGAACGTCGTAAAGATTGAAATAAAAAAAGGGCAATATTAGATAGAAAAATATTTACGTTTTAAGGATCGTGGCTTCGCCTGCTTTCTTCTGGACATATCACCAACACGAACACTTTAAAAAATCGTTGAAGAATCAAAGGAAATAAGTTAGTTCATTCTTGCACTTGTCAAAATAAATCTCACTCTCTGCGCTCCTCGTTTGAAGTCATTTCCCGAAGTAACGTGCGAATTTTCCAATCGATATTTTCGATATATATCGGATAACTAAAATGATATATAAAAGTCATTGATTGATTTGAAGTAATTGACAACTTCAGTCATATTAATCGATATATAATTATTATAAATAGTTATTGGTACCAACAAATGAATAAAAATAATACTCGAATTAATTATGTAATTGTTCTTAAATAAATCTTACTCTTCTTTCTTTCTCTCCACTTTTTTAAATTTGTTCGAATCATTTTGCGTACTTAACTAACAAAATGTACAATCTAAAATAATACACTCTATGTAATTAAACTTCGATCACTTTCGATATAATTAATAATTAAGAAAATCTTAATAATTAAACAAACGTAGTATATTAAGAAAAATCGTTTTCTGAAAAAATTTCAAGGAAGAGAAAGAAAGTAAATTACTAATGCAATGACAACACTTATTTAAAATTGTCGTACATTATAACGAGCAAAGAAGGATGGTGATTGGTCAATAAGTTGAGTAAAAGAATTGCGCGGGAACATATAAACGAGGAAGCCACGTGGTCTCAAGAAGACGAATGAGACATAGCACGTTTTAACTATTTACTAACACACTCGCGAATCCAAACGACCGTCGACAGACGCGCTTGAAAGACGCACGACGAATGATGAGCTTCGTCGAGACTCCTTACCGCCTACGTTCGGAGAACCACTGTTCAATTGATCGCGCAAGCGTCATTGCTTCTCATCTGTTTTCATCTATCGATAATTATATTTCTTTCTTTACCTTCAAGTAATCATTCCTATTATCTTCTTTTAAACAAAATAATAAAAAGAAAACAGTCGATTACATATAAATTATTTTGTAAATAATTCAAATAACAATGAAACAAAAAGTGACTCATAACCCTATATAATAACTATTTTACTAGTGTTAAAGATTAGATCAAAAAACAATAGAAATGATTTCTTTTAAATATTAATTTATTCATTTAAAGCCAATATTCCAGTTATAAATCAAGGTAGAACATATCTTTTTTGTAGTACGGAACTTAGCTACCAGGTAGCGCACGTAATGACATTAGTGCACCAACCACTGCACATGTAAATGCATGTGCATTTTACCCTTTTAATGATACGGTAAATGAACTTACAATTAATCGTTAAACAGGTGTTGCCAGTAGAATGATATTAGATAATAGAGTGATATTAGGTTATTGTATTTAACCTAAGGTAATATTTGTGCTTTTATTAATTAGCATAACTTTAAATAGTTCTTTCAAAAGTATCTAAATTATTTAAAATTGAGGTGTAATATGGATGAAAATGCAACAGAAACTTACGACGATGACATACGGGATCAACCAGTGGATTACAGTAAAAAATATGTCGAAATAAATAGATTAAAACAAAATCATATTTTGAATGACATAGACAAAGATCAATCTGCAAATGAGGATATTAAAGAATGCGAATCTGAAACGACATTATATGGAGATTATGCAGAAACAGATCTAGATCAACCAACAGACTATAGTTTAAGATATGCAGAAAATGATACAGATGAAGACGAAAAACCAACTACAGAATATTTTTCTGGGAGTGTGCAAGAAGATACTATTAAAACGTATTGTACAGAAGGTACTCCTTATGAAACACCTTTTAATTTTTCCACAGCAACATCTATGTCTGATTTAAGAGTGGAAGATACAAAAGATAATGATCATGCTAAAAAAACACAGAAAAGAGGACTCGCTGTTAAAGATAAGAAAAGTACATCTTTCGAAGAAAAAAGATCTGAAGAATGTTGCGTGCAACAACGTTTGATGTCAGAAAATGCTGAGAGGCAAAAACATATTATTAGTATAAGTACAGATAATATAATTCCTGAAAAGCCAATTAATTATTATAAAGAAGAAGAATCTAGTAGTTCTTCCTGTGTTAATTCACTCAGTTCTTTTAACAGCGAAATAGCACAATGCAATAATGTATCAGAGATGATATCAAAAACAAGTTTAGAAGATTCCATCAGTAAATCAGAACCAGAAGCAAATAATTCTAACGTAGAAGAATTAAATACCAATAAATTAATCTCTACTTCGGTAAACAATAGTCCTGAGGAAATTAAAAATAATTCACGTATTGTCGATAAGGAAGGTATAATATTCTTTACATTTATGTAAAGTAAAAAGATTGTTTAGTTTTTCTTTAATATTAATTCTTAATGTTCTTTTTAAGGGAAAATGGTAACATTTAGTGGTCAAGATTTTTATGCTGAACAAACACCTCTAATGTTTTCACGTTGTAGTTCTCTCGGTTCTTTAAGTGGTTTTGAACAGCATTCTATACACGATGACCGTAGTTCCATTGTTAGTGATTTTAGGTACATTTTACATGATCTTTATATGCTAAAATTAATATGTTTTGTATTATTTCTAGTATTTAATATATTTATCATTTAGCCGTAGAACAAGCGGAATCATTTCACCAAGTGAATTACCAGATTCTCCTACTCAAACCGTACCACCCAGCCCTCGGATACAAAATATAAAATCTACAGATTTTATGAATAAAATGCAAGAAGAAGAAGTTAAATCATCGCATTCTCATTTATGTATGCAATGATATTCAATATACTATATTAGGGTATATATTTTAACAAAAACATTAATATATACATACTAACAATTGTGACTTATTAGAAAAATTACAAAAGTTTCTTATTTTTCTATTTCTATGTGAATACTAGTACAATATATGAAGAATTGATTTGTTCCAGTGTTTCCAAAACATACTATCAAAAGGACTAGTGTTTTTGAAGACGATATTGCTACTTTTAAAGAAGAATCAACACCAATAGAATTTTCTACCACTACAAGCTTGAGTTCTTTAACTATTGATGATGAAGTGAAAAGTTCTGATTTTCTTAAAAGTGAAGACAAATTGGAGGAAATATTAAAACCGGTTCTTCAAAATATCGAAAAGGATACATCCTTTGTAAAAGCAAATATTCTTGAAAGTGAAAAACAACCAGAACAAATAAGCGATGGTGACGAAGATGATGAAGATATGCTAGCTGCTTGTATTAGTATGGGAATACAAAATAATAGATATAGACAGTCTTCAAAAACAGAAAGTATTCCAAAACCTACGCATTCTAAATCAACAAGCGTCTTAATGCCATGTGATAAAAAGTCACCATTAAACAGATCGCACGCTTGCATTTCCATTTCCCCCGGGGAATCAACAGCTGTTTCGAAAATTTGTAAATCACCAATGGAAATTGTTGTTGTCCCGGATACAGTACATGTTTATTGTACAGAAGATACACCAGCAGGTATCTCTCCAGTTGGTTCGCAATCAAATCTTTCTGTCTTATCTATGCCAAGTGTTCCAGAAGATATAGAAAAAATTGAACCAATTAAATCTTCAGAACTTGAATGTCACAGAAATGATCTTTCAGATGAAAGTTATAATCTTTCTGATGAAGATGAAAAAATTCTTGATGAATGCATTCAATCAGGAATACCAAAAGTATGTGTATATATATAGTTAAGAAAATGTCCCCAATATAGGCCATGTTTATTTGTTGTGTTATTTATATAATATTTCTTGCTTATAGGTGAGACAAATTACCCCACCTCCAACAAAAAGTATACCCTGTAAAAATAACCTTAAAACCTTACCACCAAAATTTAATTCATGTGGAACACCTTTGTCGTCTCCTGTTGAATCGACTTCCAATAAAAATCCTGTAATAAATAAACCTCTACATCATATATCGACGGAAAATGAAAAGGAATTTTCAGACGATAGTCCCAATCAATCGGATGACGAAGCTATTTTAATAGAATGTATACAATCCGCAAAGGTATTTTCTTCATAGGAAATATAAATAAAATTTACTAATTTATTTATATATTACTTAACTACTAATATATTTAATATATTATTTTTTAGGCCCGATTAAGGAGCTCACCATTGTCATTATTAAAAGAAACTAATTGTAAGATATCAAAACATACAACTCAATGTCCGGTCTCTTTACCTACAAGACTTCAAGCAGAAAAAGTAATACTTGAATATTGTTAAAATATTCCTGCTTCTTGCTTATCGTTAGAATATCCTTGCTGTTTATATATTATTTTACTTCTTTAGATAATGCGAGAACAAAATACTACTCCGAGTGGCTCAGCAAGTGTATTTTATCCTACAGAAGAAAGTTACAGTCTTTCGGAAGAAGAAGAAGAAGAAGAAATTATTTTAGCTCAATGTATTCAATCTGGCATGCCAAAAGTAAATGACTTTCTTCTATTACAGAATATATATTTGATAATATTACTTATTTATATTTTTGCTATTGTAGGTGTTAAATGTTACAACAACAAAAGTTCAAAAACAAGCTACAACGAAAAAACGAGAAGAGTATTCAAGATCAATTGGATCGTCTGGTAGTTCTACCTCTTATCTTCTAAATAATGCTTATCCAATTAATGCCTTGTATGCACAGCTGCCTTATAAAAACGTAGAAAATAGCGTTTCCCATTACATCGTTGGAAGTTCATCTTGCAGTTACAATAATTTTCCAACGAAAGCATCTAGTAGTAGTTAAGAATATATATTATTTATTTATATATTAGTAAAATAATATCATCTATCTTACATTAAAAACAATCAGAAATTCCGCAACATAAATATAATTGCCAACAAATTAGTTAAACTAGAGTTAAGATTTATTCAATATTAAAGACTGAATATATACATTTTACAACGATTAAAAACAATGAACATGTTAACTGCAACTCAGTATAAATTTTGTTTATTACTCTCATCCATATCTGTTACACTCGAATTTCCTTTTCTAGAAAATTAAAAGGTTAGAATTAAATAAATATCCTTCATTAATCTTAACATTCTACATTTCGTACATACTAATGTGTAACTAGTAATGACTCTTAATTTATAGAAAAGAAAAATTATAATTTGATAAGTTCTCTTTTGAATAATAAATTTTGGGGATGCACCTTATTTAATTCAATTATAGTTCTTTTAAAAGCCCTGCGATTCGTCGTTGTCTACTTAACCGTTATTGCCATTGGTTCAAAAGTATTTGCATCTTTGTTGGCTAGACAGTTGGTAATCCCGAACACAATTATGTTTAGGTTGGACATGCTAATAAAAATCACTGCAAGTAGTGCAAGCAAATAGCCACGCTCATTCCAGTGTCTACTGAGTGCGGAGAAGGGCATACCCGGTATTATTGTGTCTTCTATTAATTGAGTAAAAGCTCATAGTAATCTTTGTGGTAAAAGAACAAGTAGAAAATTTGGTTTTTCTTTCGATGTTCAAAATTTGATATTGACACATGTAGTAATTTGTTATATTCTATAATTTTTATCCTTCTTCCTTATTAAAATGAATTGAAGTTGATTGAAAAAAATCTCGACGTAAGTGTGCAAAATCAACAGGATAAGGCAACAACTTGAAAGAAGAATTAGTCTTACTTTCCATACGGAATTGTAAATACTCGTGCTACGTTATTCATTATTTGTCATACGTTCATCTTTTTAACAAACAATATATGAGCCGTCCATAGAAAAACTTGAGCAACATCTCTTATATTTATTAACGATATTAGGATAAAAGACGTAACCCTAGACGAATTTCAATGTGTCTCTCTTTAGTGGATATTTCTCGCGGAGAAACATATAAATTTACAAAGATTTTTGACAATCATGGATGTTGATTGTCCGATAGTCGGTTTAAAACGATCAAGCAGTGCGCCTATGATTAATGAGATCAGTGCCACAATGTCTGTTACCTCACCCTCTACTTCTGCACCAAGGTATCTATACAATCGATTATTATTTAAACACCTTTATGTAAAAATATTTTTTTCGGATTATTTGTATTTCCATTGTTAAACAAATCGTTAGATTATTTCATCTGTAAATATCTTTGACAATTGACAAATGACAATTGCAATGATTTTTTCTTTTATCATTAAACTGATATGAGTGGAAATATATATCTCTTTGACCACTCAAATTTATATTTTATTAAGTATTAATAAACTCTCTCGCAAATTATCAAAGAATTACTTAATTAGTTATCAGTTATACATTGGAAAATTGTTATTTAATTTGTGTTTTTTTTTAATTATTTTCAGAAATGCTGTATCAACATTTAATGTATTTGCCAATTCACCTCGTATGAGACGATTCAGTGCTAGCGTAAAATTCTTTTTTATATATTAAAATTTATAAGTTATATTATAATAACGTCAATATATATATATATATATTATCTCTTCTTTTCAAGTTTAGATATTTATGTTTCATTATTATATTTCTATTGTAGAGTTCATGTAGTATACCACGCTTAACACCAAGAGTTAGCCAATTAAGACAAGAAGAATGTATAGACGTTGCTGGTCGAGAAGCTGCACACGAAAAGGAAATTCACAGTGCAATGCAAATATCTCAGTCATGGGAAGATCTTCGCCTAGAAGCAGAAGGCTTATCATTTAAGGATTCAGAATCTCCTTCTCATCTCAATAGAACCGAACGACAAATATCAAAAAAGATATTAGATCCTCTCGGTTTAAATTTATCTGTAAATAGTCCACTATTGTGTTCATCTCCATCGCCTACAAGAACAGGATTAAATCAACGACAATGTTATTCTCCTGGTATTCATATGGCTACTTTGAAAAATAATTTATCACCTAGTCCAACAAGAAAAGCTTTTGCTACAAGGTAAATATTAATTTAATAAACAAGTAGAATTAATCATTGAGTATTTGATATATTTATTTTTTATAGGCGTAGCCTAAGTCCGATAAGGCCAAGTTGTTTAGGACCCGTTAAACGAAAATTTGAATTAGAAGATACCGGTGTAGATCATAATTCGTATCCTCCTGCTAAACGTACACCGACTTCCTTAACACAAAGTTCATTTAGGTAAATTATTTCTATCTTTTTCTTATAACAATATTTTTATAATTAACTCATTCACATATGTTATTTATTATACGCAGGTTAGATACAATATCCAGTCCATTATCCGGAACCATTAGTTCCGTTGGAACTCCTGAATCGTTATCTAGCGCAGATTCGCCAAGTTTTTCCTTTCAACCGATGGATAGTCCTTCGCCAGTTTGTGTTGGTTCTAATAGCGATGATATATTGAATGAAATAAACATGCAAGCCGAAACTATAGACCAAATTGAGACAGATAAAATTAGTCAAGGTAACGAGAGATGAATATAAACAGCTAAAAACTGACAGCTCACAATGTGTCATATATATTATCTCTATCATATTCTATGATATAATATCGACTTAAAATAGTTGTATTAATATTTCTTGCATTATCATAATCAAAGGGAATTTCGTGCCGATTCTCATATATTCAAATTCTAGCAGCTACAGATAAGAGTACCTGCTTTAACTATTTTTCTGTAAATATGAAGTAACTAAAATTATTCTAAACACACGAATTAAGTATTGAAAAATAACGTGATTGAATTATTAGTATAAATATAAATTGGAAGTTTTCAATGTTTTTTAATTTTAGTACCATATCCAAGGAGTATATTTTACAAAATTAGTGAACAAGAATTCTTCATATTTTTGAAAATAATTGTTTTACAAGTGTAATATGACAATAGGTATATAAATATTTAGTGTTATTTATGGTATCGTTTTTTGTCTATGAATTACATACGTGCCACTTTATTAGCTATGATATCCAAATATTAATTTGTATTAATATTTCTGAAACCCTTACGAACCATTATTAACAGCGTATATTTGCTAAATTATTTGAATCCTGTTAATTATCTATTTAGTAGTATCTGCAATTGGTTCGTTTGCAATATTGAAATTACATTCATTGTTTTATCTCTGTTTTTAAATTTAAATTGTTAGCCTTGTTGCCATGTTATGAGCCAAATTTTAATAGACTTACATTAGCTATGATAATGCCATTGTGGTTAGTTAGTCAAATAAAATTAGCTCCATTTATGATTGTATTTGCATGGAATGTTTCAAAAACAATGAACTTCCATAATAAAACTGGAATTTATTTAAACTAAATTAACATAAGAGAAATTGTGAAATGAAAATGTGTTAAAATATACAATTTAACATTAGTTTATCTTTCATGACATATATATAATACGAACAGTCTTTATAAGTAAGCAAATGCAATATCTAATAACATTGATATCTTGAAAGATTTTCAACAAATTATACATAGATTTTCTGAGTAAATTTTCTCTCATTCCTTCTATCTATTGTTATATGCCAGTTATAAGAAAATCAGATATTGATAGAGAGAAAAGCAACATTTTTAAAAGGTGTCCTTTTAAAACTCACACCAAAGTTTTAGTTAGGATTCAACTTTGTCACATAAAATAGTTTTAGTTCTGCTTATATTATATCAAATAAAATCTGCAAACATTAGCTTTTTAATTATTATAATACTTTTTTCAAAGTAAACTATATACATAATGTAATTATAAATAATTTGTATCATATTGTTAAATATTTATACTTCATTACTTCTTAGAAATACATACTTTGATTATAATAAGTAACATATGTTTTTCGTCTTCTGAATTAAAGTTGGAAGCCTACGTTATTGTAATAAATTAATAATATTATGATTGCAAAATTATTATTATTTTGATCTAAGCCAAGTTATGAAGAGAAAAGAAGTATTATTAATCTTGTTATTTCAAATATATTTTTAACATCTTTCCAAAATAAAACAACTTACATTGATGATCTAATAATGCCTTATAAGTAATATGTATGTTATTAGCTCAAATATTAAAAGATCATTATTATTAGAAATAAAAATCATACGAAAGAAATTTCATCAATGCTGTTGTTTAGTAGACAAATCAATCTTGTATATTCCCGAAGTCAAAATGAACGAGTCTCAGAAGATACATATGCTTCCTAAGTTTAAGACTGAAATAAATGTTTTGTAAGGCACTTTTTTATAAATCAAAATGGCCTTTATCTAATTAAAATATCATGTGTAAATAAAACACTACTTTCTCAATCAAATTCTTTAGAATTGACTAAGTTTCAAATAAATATATCTTCATTTATTATATTAATGCACATACCATGTTTTGTATTAACCCTTTTGTGCATGCAGTTATTAGTTAAAAAAATTATTGTACAAATGATTAAACATATTAATGTTCCTACATATATGATAGGATTAGACAATATATTAATTATGTCGGATATTTTACAAAAAGTATATATCTACTTACATTTAAAATATATATGCTCTAAGTACTGCTATAAAATAATAGTGTCGATTTTCTGTAAAAATAATTGCTTTCGGAAATACTGTTTTTCGATAATAGTTGGTGCTTAAAAATAAAGCTTTTTTAAAAATTCTATAAGTAAAATGAAACATTTGAACCTTCATCTTTCAAATGATACCTTCATCATCAAAATCGATTAAAAATTGTTTATTTAATTAAAAGGTATTATGATACTTAAATTTAAATTTGGCGCCTAAATTTATGTCTATGACGACAGTAGTGACACCAGTGGTACATAGATGTATTACATTGTCTTGTCAGTATGACAAAATCACTGATATAGTAGTGATTTTTGGAAATTTTTAAATTAAATTTTAAATTAATTCAATTTCATTAAATCACATAATAAAATGTAGTGTATACATTTTGGAAAATTGTTATTTATCATTAATAATATAATCGAATTTCAAAGTGATCTGTGCCGACCAAGCAATAATTTTGGCAATAAGAAACTGGTATGTCACTCTATATTTATCTTTATCTATTTCTAAATTTGCAAGTTGTCTTTTTTTCTTCAAGACTTATATTTTTTATCTACATTTGCAGTAATCCTTGCGAATTTCTATTGTCATAAAAACAAAAAACAAAAGAAATTGTTATAAACTATTCCAATAAATACACAGTAATAGTAATAATTAAATTTAAAAAAATGTATGCAACTTTAATTTACTTCTTCGTCGTGGGCATCTTACAATCAGTGAATGCAGAATGGAATACAAAGGATTATATGAAACGAGAGCATTCTTTAACACGGCCTTATCAAGGTTTGTTAATTACATTTTCTAATATCAATAGCATAGTAATTATTTATCAGATTTTGGTACGCTGTCATATATATCTATATATCTATATATATATATATATATATATCATACATTACTTTTTTTATTAAAACAATATTTATAGGTTATGATATTAATAAGTACAAAAATATATAGTTGGATAATCAACTTTTAGAATTATCTGACATTTCATATTTTCTAGGTTCTGGTATGATTATTCCTTATTGGGATTTTATGGGTAGTACGATGGTTACAAATAACTATATAAGATTGACATCAGATTTACAAAGTAAACAAGGAGCTATATGGAACTCTGTGGTAAGAATATATTTTCATATTATTTCTTTTATTTTAAATCTACGTTTATTATATTTTTATGATTGTTTTATAGCCATGCTATGTTAGAAATTGGGAACTCCAAGTACATTTTAAAGTACACGGAAAAGAAAAGGACTTATTTGGAGATGGTTTTGCAATTTGGTATGCTAAACAACGCATGAAACATGGTCCAGTTTTTGGTAATATGGATTATTTTCAAGGGTTAGCAATAATACTCGATACCTACAGTAATCACAACGGTCCTCACAATGTAAGCCTATAGAATTTTAATTATTCAATTATAATCAATCATTATATTCATTATAGTATTAACACGTTCGTCGCCATGTTTCCGTATAGAGGAGACGGGCATGCTTCCCCGTGGGCCCCGTCCCCTCTATACGGAGACGCTCTTTTCCCATTTAGAAACAAAATTATTTTCGGTAAATAAAAGATATTTTTATATTTTATTATTTTCGGTAAATAAAATATAATAATATAATATAACCATAATACTCGGGTTGCATTGTTGATATTTCTACTTATCGCTTCTTTACGTTACGGCGCGCCGGCAGTCGAATTTTGGGCCTGGCGAGAAACTCAACCGAAACGGATTGGGCGATGAACGTGTTAATGTATTCTGTATTTGTAGCATCAGCATCCTTATATATCAGCCATGGTAAATAATGGATCTTTGCATTATGATCATGATCGAGATGGAACGCATACACAACTTGCAGGATGCGAAGCAAAATTTAGGAATCTTAATTATGACACGCATATAGCAATTAGATACGAGAGAGATACTTTAACTGGTAAATTATAATTATTAGTTAATACAAATAAATAGCGATTAATAGAAATTTTAAATGGTTATTTTTTTTATAATACAGTTTCTACGGATATTGCAAACAAAGCAGCTTGGAAAGAATGTTTTTCTGTGAAGGGTATTAAATTACCAACGGGTTATTACTTTGGTATATCTGCAACAACAGGAGATCTAAGTGATAACCACGACATTTTATCAATTCGTCTATTCGAATTAGATTTGCCAGATGATGTAAGTAAATTCTTCTATATGTATTATTAGATTAGATGTTATTAGAAATATGCGTACAAAAGGTTTGAACATATGCTACAGTTTCGAAACTATTATAACGAAAAGAAATATTCTATTTATACAGCCGAAAGATAACGAGGATAGATCTGCTATCTTACCATCTGCAGCTTTCTTTGAATCGCCACGTGGTAAGATATCTGTAGATATCAAAAAATTGGCTTGAAACCAAATTTAATTTATGTATGTAAATATAAGATAACTTTATTTTGCAGAACGTGTGGATGATCCAAAACAAACTCCTATGAGTGGTATCAAAATGTTCCTCATAATGCTTGTAGGAGCATTAATATTCATTGCTTGCGTTGTGATAGCAATTATGTTTTATCAAAAACATCAGGAAAATTCTCGAAAGCGTTTTTATTGATTGATTTATTTTATGGATATTGCAATTTACCAACCAATTCATTTGGAATTCTTTTACTCAGGATTTTTCCTGTAACAGGAACATTTGTAGTGTAATATTTAAAATATTTGTAAGACTGGTCGTGATAAAAATTAAGATGAACATGATTAATAATATAGTGCAACTTTTTTTCTCAAAAAAAAAAAAAAAAGACTTTTAAAGAAAGAATCACACATATGTCAAAGTGATAAAAATAGTGCAATGGTCACATATGTAAATGATATGAACATTGTAATTGTGAATGTGTTAAGCAATACGATAAATATGTTGGACCTAAGTACTCTTATTATATGTAAAGTATTAACAAGTTAATCAGTGTATATATAAGTTGAATTTAATAAGTAAATAATATTAGATAATTAATAGATAAACAAAAATTATATATATATATATATATTACTTAAACTGCCTGAATATAAAGTATATATATATTCGAATAGGTAAAGAGTAGGATGCAAGAAATTGTACATTTTAGATTAATAATGTACGTAAGTAATCATTTAAATTTTTAAAGAAATTTCTCTTTTTATTCAATCATAACAATAAAAACTATTACATTTTTAAACTACATTTGAATAGAATTGCACTGATTGACTTTGATAATCTTTATATATTAGGAAATTACTTGGATATGATTATTTTTTAAGTACATGCAATGAATTTTATCAGATTATAATAAGAGTACATTCATTTTCACGAGAGTATATCTTAAGAAAATGATATAAATATTATTAGAATGTACAATTCTTTTAAACATATGAAATATCCATATTCTGGAGTATTATTACAAAAGAATAAGTGAATAGTTTACTAGATTTTGGATATTTAATTTTTGGATAAATAATGACGTATTTTATATATTTAATATTCAATTGAAATTTATAATTTTCTTGATTTTAAATTATGTTATTTTTTTTTTTATGTTATTCGAATTAAACAAAATATTTAATTGATGTAAATTTTATATTTGTACATAAGTGAAATGAATATTATTGTGTATGCAATAACTATAAAGTATCTTTCTCTTATAGAACTTCTTTTATATGAAAATGATAAAGAAAATAAAGAACCAAACCAATTAAACAAATGATTATCTTGTTAATGAAAAACATGTTTAAGGAAGAATGTATAATAATTTGTTGCCAAATGTAAAATAAAATTACCAACGATTACGGGAAATCAAATTTTTCCCTTTTTCCGTTATTAATATTTTCTAATAATTATAAACGAACAAAATCATACAATTTTTAAAAATATTACGCAATTTTTAGAGTTCTTATTCTTTTTTTTAATTATTATTATTTATTATAAATTAATAAATATCTGAACAAAAGAATATTTAAGGCACTTCTAATACTATATCTTTACTACGTTATATCTAAGATATTTCTATTTTATAGATATATTCTATCTTAGATATATTTTATATCTAAAGATATTTACTCGTATATATCTTTTTACTACGTTATCTTTTGTCCATTTTCATTATCTGATATGATACATTTGGTAGTTTCATTATTTTTATAGACTTATTATTACTCATTTCTATATTACTTATAGATTCTTATACATTTTTAACATTTACATTGATAAAACATTAAATTTTGTTCTCTTTTTCATACAGTACTTAATGTTGTGTTCAGGTATTCATAACATTTAAATATAAATAACTATATCATAATCAATCATGTTGATTACTTCGATATCTATTCTAAATACATAGTACCTTCACGATCTTCTATTAATACGTTTTTACATATCAATAGATAATAGTTATACAATTTAGTTAATGCGTACTATTATCTTTTGGAAAAATTAAAATATTTCACAAATATATTAATTATTTTATAATTAAATTAGATTTTTCAGTATCTAGAATCTAAGATACAATGAAACATTGCTGAAATTGCTTATTATGTTTTGTGTATTTCAAATCAAATTAAATTCATAATTGTTATTTTTTTTCTAATATTCTAAAAATTTAATAGAAAAATATTAAGCATTTCATCATTTTGTTTCAATGGCAGTAAAGTATATGAATATATGTCATTCTTAAAATATATATAGTATAAATATATATATCTTTACATTTTATAAAATAGATATTTCAGAATAAAATCTGAATTAAAAATAACTGATAAAGGTAACATAAGACATGATTCTAAGATTTAAGTGTGTGCTTAATTATATTATGTTTTCTATTTAGCACATAACTATCATAATTTTTATTTAAGACCAAGATTGGCTATTGCGAAGTTTTTCTCATACGAGGCGTTAATAAAAAAAAAAAAAATATTTATTAATTTTTTGAATACATACATAGTGCATACTTTCTTAAAAGAAAAAAGTGTGATACTTCAAACAATCTCCAATGTAATTAAAATAAATAGTTCTTTTCCTTGTACGTAGGTTGGAACTTAAATAGTAGCAACTATTTATTCACAACCGATACAAAAGAGTTACATGTTTGCACCTGTTACTGTCCTTCAAAGTAGTCACCAGCGTTGTGTAGAACCCGTTAGCAGAGCCTGTTCTGTTGATGGTGCAAATGGAGCGGTCTACTGCCTGTCGAATCTCTGGAACAGTTCTGAAGCGGATGCCATGATGGGTTCCGCATGAATTGACGGAAATGCAGAAATGGATGTGTTACGATGCTGCTCAGATGCATTTGGAGCGTTATGAGCGCGAAGGAGAGGCTTTCTTACGCCGCATCTTAACACTGGATGAGACATGGGGTTCTACACAACGCTGGTTACTACTTTGAGGGAGAGTAACAGGTACAAACATGTAACTCTTTTGTATCGGTTGTGAATAAATAGTTGCCACTATTTAAGTTTCAACCTACGTATATATATATATATATATATATATATAACGAATGTATGAGAATTACTTAAATAGAACAATAGGATTTAATAGAAAATTAAGAACAGTCTTTATACCAAGCCAAAAGTTATTGACAATTGAACTTAATGTTATGTGATGTTTGTGTCGTTTAAAAGATTTTAGGTCAACAGAATGGCAAGCTAAACAACTAATTTCGTCTAATTCAACGTGCGGTTCTCCACCACCAAGTAATGATTCCTTTTCTAAACCTGTGTTCGATAAAGTGCCAGAAAACCAAATTTTATCTTGTGGATATACATTTAGACTAAAATTAGTAAACGAGTGATCCGCAATAAGGACAATTTCTGCATTATTTCCCCATATACCGCTTTTCATTTTGACAAAAATTTCAAATTCATATTGATCCCATGCAGGAAAATGACACTTATGCCTTTTCTTTTGAATATTTACAAAGTGTTCACAATTTTTTCTACGTATTTCGTCGTACGAATCACAATTTTCTTTATATGGCTCACCATATGTACAGCTGAATGTAGTTCTAATACTGTCAGGTAGCATACGTAATATTGTAGCAATATTATTTTTAATTGATTTTAATCTAACATTTGTTACGTAACCTTCCCATGAAATTGGAATGCCTTCCAAGTGAGCACATTCTATTTGTACTTGTGCTTTCGATGATATATCTTCCCACGCAGGTTGATGACAATGATTTTGGTATTGCTCCCACGATAACGTAGATGCAATTTCATATGAATTGTTATCCGAATCTTCTTTATATTCCGTTATAACTTGCCATGATAAAAATATAGCAGCGCTTGTGCCTAAAATGAGCTGATAAAGAAAAATGATATTAATAATTGAATAAAAATTTAATATTTTATAACAATATTAATATTATATTTTTAATATAGAAATAAAATGTGTAAAAACCTGGACTACAGTAATGATCCAATTAAATCTTGGAGTTCTTAATCTTCTCATGTACCAAGATGCAATGAATGGTAAACCTCCTAGTATGGCAGTTACAATTATTCTCATTGCTAAATCGCTTTCGGACAAATATTTTGCAGCTGCTATAATTGGTAAAATAATTGAAGCTAAACCAACGATTGGAAGAAAAAGTACTATACCGACTAATGCGAGAGCACCCCTAATTAAACCATACCATGTTCTACTTTGTGAACTAAATATTGCTATTTGCCACCAACTTATGGTAACGCAATGAGGAATCAAAGTTTTATATGTCCCACGCCAATTGTCTCTAGCAGCCATTTTACAAAAGACTGCTGGTATCAACAAATAAAAAACAACACGAAAATTGAGACAAAATTCAATACCATTACCAACAACGTAGGAAGCAAATGTAGGTACTCTTATATCGAGGAATCTCCAACTTTGTGCTACAACAATATCTAATTCGTAAGGATATTTTGCGAGTACATGCACGCAAAAACTAAACAAAGCTAAAAGATCAGGAAAATTAGGTGAATTATTCCACATAAAATTGAGTAATGTCACTAATGTTAAAGTAACAGCAATAATGGTAAATTCTGATTGCGGCGTCCATTGATGAGCTATCATAGGATAAACCATTAGATTAAGCAATAAAGCGAGAAAAAAATGACCATAGGGCTTTAAATTATTGCAACAAAATTGATACTCTGCTTCGTCAGGATTTAAATTACCACCTGAATAACTGAGGAATAAGCGCGACCAAACACGGAAATTATTCAACTTATGTTTTCTGTGTAACATCTGTAAAGTAGAAATAACCATTACAATGAAAGACAAATAATAAAGTGCCATTGGAATGAAAAGTATTAAACTTTCTGTACCGAACAAAGAATATAACAAAAGTAATAGAAGTATATGCATGTTTGATGCGAAAAGAATTTTTATAATCGGTCTAGTCTTATGACCTATCATCTCTATTAACCAAATATAGAAACACTTTAAGGATGCTAATGGATGAATAAATGGTCTTTGTAAAAGAGGAATGGTAGCTAATTCCATTTCAAGCGAATCTACCATACATAATGTACGAGAAACCATTGGGAGCATTCCATGAGCATAGCTTGTAGCTGCCGATACTAAAGCTGCTTCTGTTATTTTTTCACTTTGATGACCCATCCAATCTAAAATTATATTAACTATACATAGAGTAATGCATATTATATTTATCATTAACAGATATAATATATAAGAGTTATATACTTACCATAAGTTACATTGTGTACTTTACTTTCTTCTTTCGTAGATGTATTATCTTCAGGAAGCTCAGTTTTAGTAAATTTATTACTTAAAGCATCATTTAACTTTTCATCTGAAGTATTAGCCGATGATTTAGGTGATTGACAACTACTGAATTTACTACTAGATGGAAATGTCACATCCCTCATACATCTTTGTAATTGTTCAGTTGTAATAAAATCCTCACCGTTTGATAAACTACATATAAAGCAAACGAATGAATAGAATCTCAATGAAGTATTATTTTAAGAAGATTAACTCTTCCAATAAGAACAACGTACTCAACAGTAATCAATAGATAATAGAAAAAATTATTGGAAAAATTACTAACTAGGGACGACGATTATCTTGGTCTTCATCTTTACCTAGTAAACATTTCCCTAGCAGCTTTTTTAGCTAGTTTTTCATCCTGTGTCATATCCAAACAATTTTTGACATCGTAGTAATTGTGTTCGGTGATTCCACGACCAGTAGCTAAACATTGTTTAAGAATTTCTGTTGCCTCTAAATTGCCTTGCTCCGAGGCTTTGGTTAACCAATAAACACCCAATTTTGCATTTTCTTCTTTATTAACATCCAAATCTTAAATAAAATAATGCAATAATGTACTACGTACAATGCATGCATACAATTAGAAAATATAATATATAACAAACCACATCTTTCATCCAAAAGTTGTTTAGCTAAAACTACTTGAGATTCTGGACATCCGTCTTCAGCCATTTGAGACCGTAATCGTCTAAGAGAACCACGTGTTCCATCTAATAAAAATCTAATATTGTCATATTCTTCTCTAATTAATACAATATTAAGAAGATTTAATATATATATATATATAATCTATCTCTACGTAAAGTAGATATATTATTAAATGATTGATTAAATGAATTATAATCTGTAATTAATATCGATTATGGTAGATTTAGATATCAAGTATTGATATAAATAACATTTGACCTAATAGTTATTGACAGATGTCGAATACTCATGCAACCTTTTTCCAACTACTCCATTAGCATTTCCAATTATTGTTAAGAGCTTTACTTTCATTTACACTTTTATTTTATTTTATTTTATTCAAATAATTACATCATGTTAAGAAATGTGAAACAAAGAATCACTTGAACAGTATTGCTAAACTACTTTTTTGGAACAGTAATTACCACCGTGTAACGTCCATTGTTTTCTACCGGGTCTTCCTGACAATGGCATAATGCCAGCCATTGTAAATGTGTTATTAACAAACTTTGACAACGTCTGAATCTCTTTTATTAATATTATTTGTCATTTATTATTGTGTTTAAATTAAGAACACGTATTTTCTCTAAGATACGAATCTGACCGCCTAAACAATGCGACTATCGATATTGTAAGTGACATAAGGGGAAAGCGCATGGTAAATTCTTTCGCGCATGTGCAAAATAATAAATTTTCTTTTTCGTTCATCCTTATAAATATATAGATAATATTTCATTAAAAAAAACATTGTACTTCCATCAATACACGTAATAGAATTACGATAGAATAAATGGAAATTATATTTTGTATATAATCTTTAAATTTTTTAAAGGAAATTATTAGAATATAATAGGATTAATGGGCGATAGGATTCATCATTTGTCATGGACCAATCAGAGAACGTTTAGTATACAACTGATCTCTGATTGGTCCTATTTCATACAAGTTTTTTATCTGCCAGATTCAAAACGTTTTACATTTTTTAATTATGTATAAATATGAAAAATTGTATAAGGATTGTATAACATCAATATTGTATAAGGATAATTTAACAGAAAAGTGTAAACAATTTTATAACAACTTTATTACTAAAGATTATATATATAATTATAATGTTATTACCAAAAGATTATCATTTCGTAAGTTACAAAGCCTAAGGCTCCTTTAAATGAAATATATAGACCGCACTTAATTAAACTTACTACTTTATTATTGATTTAAGCATTAATTATAATTTAGGGAGCCAGTTTCGATGATTTTGCAATTTCTTTGTCCAAAACGCAAACGTATTTTAATTGTATTTGTTTAGCAAAACCACGTTTTTCCTGGCTCCTCGTACAGTCAGAAATCTGTTCTAATACCAGCACTAAAAAGTTAAAAAAAAAGATATATTATTATATAATCTTTTTAGATTGTTTATATTATTTCATAATAATTATTATAAAGTACACTTACAAATTGCTTGGTCCAGTATAAGGTGGTGGATTGGGACGAATATATGGATTACAACGTTCACTAGAAATTCTATAAATATAATAATAATTAATTAATTAATTAATTAATAATACTATATGTATATTTACATATATATAGATGCACATATTTTGATGTGTACCTTGGTGTATGTGTTAAAGAGTCATTAGGACTAGAAGGTGGTACAGATAATGATCTAAGAGTTCCTCTTTCAGGAGCAACATATTGTACCATTTGCACCCCATTCTTGCTCATTGTTTCTATCGACGATGATTCTGTTTTTTTGCTATAAATAAAAAAGCTAATTAAACAGTTATACATTTATATATATAGAATAACGTTTAACTTTTAATATCTGTTAGTTATATAAATGAAAAACTGTACCTACCGACTATAGAATGGCATGCAAACGGATAATATGCATAACTGCAAAATAAAACAATTCTTAGCGTTACCAAATTAGTATAGCAATGCAAAAATAAAAGATATTCAAAATAATATAAGTTAAATGCAAATTTACAACGCTATCGATAATATTACGAAGCAATCCTGAATTTTATTAAATTATTTATAATTTTATAATTGTATTAGTAAAATTTAAAAATACCGTTGAAAATTATTCATTAAATTTTTGTTATTAAGAAGTATAATTGAGATTTTGGATCTGTTTTATAAAATATTGAATACAAAAATTCGAATACGGAAGTCACGATGGAAATGTGACCATAAACTAATAATTTTACTTATATCAATGATAATCTTTACGTCATAGCAAATGATCATTTTACGTAGTACGATGACGTGCAATTCTTAAGTCTGTTTACGTAGATTGCGCGTTATTCGCATTATCATTATCTTAAGGAAATGACGATTAATATGATTACGTTGATCGAGAATCTTGATATTTTGTAGAGTCGAGGTAAACTATGTTGAAATGTAAAATAAACTTTAAAAAGTAATTTTTCTACGATGAATCTAATTATAAATATTTTAACAATTTAATTAATTGTAATTTAAAATATTTTAAAAATGATATATATAAAAAATTATAAATTAATTTTGTAAGATTCTAATAATAAATTTTCTTATCAATAAAATCTCATAAATATCATTTGATTATGTAGAAATTATTAATTATCAGATTGAATGATAAGAAGGAAATCCTGATGATGATTACTTAATGGCAAAAATATCGTTTTATCATACAATTTACCGGATGTGTTGTATGTTATTTTTTTTTTTTTTTTCATTTTTTACATAAGAACGTTAGAATAATTATACTAACAGCGAGATAGAAAATGAATGCAAACTTAGTGTTTATATTCTTTTATTTACATATAAAGAATAGTTTGTAAAATTCGAATGACGCGAATAATGTAATCTACTTGTTTGTAATTCTACTTATGTAAAGAATATTTAAGAGTATGTTATATATGAAACTTTTGATAAAGAAAGATCACTAAATATTAATAAATAGTGAATATAAATATGATAATATTTTATACTAAACTTTTGACGTAAATTTCATTTTTTTTATATTTTTATATTTACATTATTACATATATTATATGTAGTATATTACATATAGTATATTTATATGTTACATTATTTTTTATATTTTTTACTTTTTCAACGACACGCTTTTTCTTCAATGATATGTTTATATATATGTTTCTATATGATATAATGTGATATGTATATATATATGCAGACGTGCCGATTACATTAGTCGAGTGTTCGAACCACATTGCATTCATATTTTCGACCGTGCTGAGCGTTACGAAGTTACTTGGTCAGATATCGTTCTTACTTATGAATGAAACCGACTATGAAAGAGAGAGACAGAGAGAGAGAGAGAGTTCTTTGTCCTCTATCTCGCTCATTTATACTCAATATGCCGCTACACGTGTAACCGATTTTACGAGCTGAGATATCCAAACAGAAAGAATGGATCATGATTTTCGAATCTTAAAGTTATTTCTTTTCTAATAACTCAAACAAAAATAAGAAAAAGCTAATAAAAATGAAATAATTACCATTTATGGAATATACAGGATGCAGCAATAACTTTGTCCACCTTGAATAATTCCTTTGTTTAAATTTCAAGTATATAGATCATTTTTATTCATTTTTTTATCACGAAAAAAATATATATATATAATTTCATTTTAAAAGATATCGAAAATTTCTCTTCTGTAATTTTTCCTTTGAAGTTTTTTATTACGATTGTAAGGAAAGAAGATATATTTAAGGTGGACAGAGCAATTATTGCCGCACCCTGTATAGAAAGTGTTTACTTTGAAACAGTGTTTAAATTGTTTTATCATAAGACAATTATAAAAACTTACATTTTATCACGATGAAGACAAAGTGCTGTACTCAGAGAAGTGGCCAAAAGAAGAAGTAATGTCGTTGGTACGAAGATCGTCGTAACGATTTCTTTGAAATAACTTCTCGTAGGAATATCAGCTTTCGTTGATCTTGCCCATTGCCACTCGGTATGTTCAGAAATTCCAGAAGATGGTAAGCCAACAATATTCATACTTGGTCCGCGTCTCGCACTTTCTCGTTGGAAATTCTGTTCATCGCTTTCGATCTTTTCGATAATGTAAACCAAGAAATGATTATTAAATCTTTTAAAAAATATTTATCCGTAAAAATAAATGTTTACATTAAAAATTAATCTGACCAGTCTGAAGGAACACCAATCCAATAAAAAGCCAGCTTCTCTGAATAGCCTTTCCACGCTTGTTCTTTTAAAATCTCTTGGGCAGGATGGTAGTAACTTCCAAAGTGGTTTTACCTCTTCTTGAAGTTCAATCAATTCTTGTGAAAACTGCACCGAACTACCCAGTCTCATGACGACTCTGGAAAAAAAACCAGTTTAAATCGATTGAAAGGTAAAAATAAAGAAGATAATAATCCTTTTTTCCTTAATCCTATTACACAAACAAACGAAGGTACAAACCGATTTCATTCTAACATCTAACGTTTATAGCTCAATTTTGAAATTTATAATAATGTGTAATTCGTGAACAAATTTTCCGAATCTTTTTTTATTTACTCCAACACACTCATTTTCTACATAAGTGAGAATAATATCACAATATCTTGACGGCCTTTGAAACGTTTGTTATCATTGTCATATATATTTATTTATTTTCTTCCGAAACTTATGTCATGACGTAAGTACTAAAAAAAACGTCACACACAAATAAAAAAAATTCTTTCGTCGTAAATATAACGAACACATTAAAGCTGCAGGTGCGTTAGGTTATTTCAACGCAAGATAAGAGAGAACTTTGTTTCTTGATAAATTACTTGAAATGACCTCATGATTAATCGAAAAAGATACTACACGCTAAAAGATTCAAAAATATAAAGATTTTTTCTGCGTGATTATATTACTGACTGATACGTGTAGTATCGGCGCATTTAATTTTACGACATTTGCGTCATCCCTACTCATTATCCAAGAATTCTCTCATATGTTATTTTGATTTTTTGACAAACATTATTTATAATCAACAAGAAAAAAAAAACAACTTATCTTTTGTGGTCAAAACGTTTAACATACATTTTCCTACTGATAATCGTATAATTTATTTAGACTTTTACTAGATAACATTGTCTTATTTTTTTTTTTATATTATTATATTGAAATTTTTATAATATTTCTCTCGCATAGCAATATAATATAACTATCACTAATAATATACTACAAACACGATGTATTATAAATCAATAAAAAGAATTTCATAAAAAGAATTTCATAAAAAGAATTATAAGTTTTCTATAAAAACGATGATCACATAAAAAACAAATATATATATATGGTACGATGCTAATTTTGTTCTTGCAGCAATTTTTCTGATTCCATTGAAAGTATAAAGAAATATTATACCGTAAGAGAAGTTCTAATTTGTTATCAAAGATGAAATTTGAGAGACACTGGTCCAATACATAACGAAAGAGGCATTATAAGTTAAGGGGAGGTGAAGTGAGAGGAGATGGGGTGCGGCCTTATCGTGTGCGTGGGACAGGAGAACGTCATTCAGAGAAGCGCTTCGATTATCTTCTCCCGTAGCGTTGACAATGTTGTACTTGTTCGAGCAGTCAGACTACTTACACGCTGTGTACATATTAGAGGCGTTGCGTTGCCGCAAGGAGGTGGATTGCTTTAGTCTTTTAGTAGCTGCGCGGGCACCGTTCCATCGAGATCTTTGACTAGGCACGAGACACGCGATACGTTTTATCTATTTTTCTTACTATTTTATGATTATTAAATCAACTTGCATAACTTTCTTATCTCTTCAATCAAGTTTCCCTAAGAGATTGTGATTGTATGGAAATGTCTTCTTCTTTTTTTCTAAATTTTCCACAAACATAGTTTTTTTCCATCAACAGAGAAGAAAAATATTCATGGACCTAAGTCGACTGATAAAATTAATGAAGATGATTAGAAGATATTCGTTATCGCAAAAAGAAACATTTTATTAGCAACAAATATAATTTTGGTATGTATATTGTAATCCAAAATTGAGAAATTCTTGATAAGAGATTAGAAATATTCATTTCTATAGAAAAACAAACAAAATATACTTTTTATAAATAATAGAACTTGCGTAAGTACCTTAGCATATAGAGATTGGAAGGCCGGCATCCGCGGTTATCTAATCTCATGAAATATTTCCTTTTAATTTGTCCAATTATATGTACTATGATATGAAAGAATCAAATCTTAATGTGACGTTCGTAGGTATTATATACGCATTTGTAAAACGATTGAAATGTATGTCAAGAACGTTCATTATTTCCCGTGGAATATACGATAATATTTGCTATGAAGAACGATGGATATATTATCAGCCCTACTGCTTCATTGATTTTTCCTTGGAATTTGTACGCTTCAATAACTTCTACGGTCTTTTAGAATATCTTCCTGTGATCATTAGGGACGCTTCTATCTCTATCTCTATCTCTATCTCTTTCCTAAAATCATTAATTATATTTCATGACGTTGTATTATTCGAACAAATAATCAATAATGTTTTGCCTAAGAATTTCGATTTTTAAAAAAGTCAAAATGACGAATAAATGTAATATTATGTATATATGCAGGGTGCGGCAATAACAACTCTGTTCACCTTCAATATCTTCTTTCTTTACAATCGTAGTAAAAAACTTCAAAAGGTAACATTGCACTATTGTAGAAGGGAAATTTAATAATAATTGTGAAAAGAATTGTTTCTCAAGATCACATTTTTTTACGATTCTTTAATCTATAACATATGGCTTGCTAAACGCGGTGGCACTTAACTTCAATATCTACATTGATGTCTATCTAAAACAATTTTTACCCTGCAATGGAATATATACACATGTACATTCTCTGTATATATACCCTACATACGTACCATGTACTCCCATATATAAATATATGTTATAAACGTCTGACATTCGTAGGTTTGAGAAAGAACGTTAAATGCATGCCGGTGTGTTATTTTCTTTTAGCGATGAAATGATCGCTATGTCAATAATAACGAAATAATGTTTTGATCTTTCACTCTTTCCTTTGATACATAAGTTTGAAGTCTTCTAGAAAATAAGTTTAGCTTACCCCTCACTTTCTCCAGGTTTAAGGGGTAAACGTGCTCCGAGTTCAACCGCAGAAGCAAGAAAAGTGACATACAAGTCCATTGCAGTCGTCCAAAGTTTGTTTCTGGAAGATCATGTATCTCGTGTGAGTATAATCAAGAGAAAAGTAAAAAGAAAAAAGAAAAAAACTTTCTAACAAGTATAAATGTATTTTTGTCGTGAGGCAGACCTGAAAATATGAAGAAGTTTTTCGGTACGATTACGACCAAATGTATCTTCCACGTTGAGATTATCGATTTTTAAGTTGACCTCGTATCTCGTTAAATTTTGTTTCTCAAGAACGTTGATGTCGAGCACTTTATATTTCGTCTCGTACGTGTGTTTGTTCAAACCCACAATCTCCAACTGAAAAAAAAAAATATATAAAACTAAATTGTGATCAATTTGAATAAAAAAAAATGATAACGGGATTACAATAAATTCGTATGCTTACTTGAAAATATTTTTGATTTTTTGGTGCCACACCATAAAGAAATCCGCCATGATCTCTTTTACTATGAACATAGTGAATCCATGACGGAAGATCGGGAGCGTTGAGCAAGGACGGTTGGTACGTAAACTGATCGTATTTTCCTTCAATAGAGACAATAGATTGTTTCATGAAAAGCCATTGTTAAAATATTAAAACTTGTATATGGTAAATAGTATGAAAGCCCACAACTATTTCTAATATATAAACATGATATAAAAAGAAATATACATTTATACATTTTTTCATTATTTCTTTCTTTCTTTCTTTTTCTCTTTGTTCTTTTTCTATCAAACTAGAAATCAAGCTAGCTCATCTTTCGCGTCGTTTGTATTAATGTGAACTGTCTCGTCGACCATAAATCGTTTACCCACGCGTCATGTAACATAAGATAAAGCAATCATACGTTTCTCGCAATCTTAAACTGTGTAGTCTCGACATTCTTATATTAAAGTCCAAATAACTATCGGGCACGTGGTTGAAGATAAAAAAAATTATATTTTTAGCACACACGATTATTTATTATTAATTTACTAATAATAAATTAAAGAAATACTTCGCAATAATTTGTGCGATATTCTAGAAAAATATACACGATTATTTATTATTAATTTATTGGACATATTTCGCAATAATTTTTGCGATAATCTAGAAATGATATTTCACACGAATACGATTAGAAATTATCGAGATTCATCGAAATAAAATATAAAATATAATACAATAAAATAAAGAAAAGGATGAATCATGATAACGATGACGTCGAATTGGTTTTATTGGAACAATGGTCCATAATGAATCATTAGCAAAAGTATTACTTAGTAAGAAATCGAAAGTAGAAAATTGATAGTATTTTTCGATGAAATTCATTAATACCGTAAGAATGACCTTCGATACTGATTACAAAAATTTGACGGAAGGTGCGTTAGAAAGTGTCTCTGGAAACGCATATAAGAAAGAGAAAGAAAGGAAGAGAGCCGGACGCGTATCATGTACGAGGTCGAACGCTATTAACGCTCGAGACGCGTCTGTAATTGCTATTCGTGATGCGCGTCGAATGACGTGCGAGACGTACTTTAATTTCAAATTGGTTAGCGGGTTAACGGATAACAACGAGAACCTTTTTTTCTTTTTTTTTTTTCTTATTTCCTTTTCTTTTCTTATTGCATGCGTTAAGTAAAATTTAGATCTGTACATTTTTCGGATTTCTTATTTATTTATTTGATTTATTCATTTAAATCGTTTTCATTGTTGCATTTTTGGACATTTAATTTTAAACGATTATTTCTTTATTCATTTTGATAAATAAAGTCTCGTTTTTATCTCTTTTTATATTTTATTGTTTTTATTTATCAGTCTGTTTATTTGTCCGTCTTACCATCTGGATTCCAATTGAAAGTTTCCGGTCTGATAGGTATAACAAAGACCTCGGTCATTAGAATATTCTCAGCATTGGCAAAGGTTGTCAGAATTATTAATACTCCCACGTACGGATGCATTTCGCTAAAAAAAAAAAATATTAATATATGACTTTTTAAAATTATAGATCAATCTGTATCAATTTGAAAAAATGCGCGCTTATTTCGGTCGATAAAGAAGTTAGACACAAATATAAATCTCGATCGTAACAACAATATTATTACAATAATAGTATCGTTTTTATGTTAAAAAATGAACGACAATGTTCTTGATTATCTTAAAAGGGCATTTAACAAGAAATTTAAGTGATCAAAGTTGAAAATTATTCAATTATTATTTTTACTAAAGTTGAAATTGCCGCGGAATATTTTCTCATCGATCACGATACACTACAATGCGTGTCCTTCTTCGATATAAATAAAATTTCTTTCAAAGAGAATCTTGATGCGAAATTTTTAGTTAACCTCGATGAAACTCTTTACAGATGTTAAATTCTTGATACATCTTTCCGAATGAGGTTAATTCCATACATCGAATATCTAATGGCGAAGTTCAGAGAGCTGAATAAATACAAATTCACGCAAATTGCGTGCACACATATTCTGAAAAAGAAAATCTTTTGATAATAGTTCTTTTAAGGAGAAAAAAGAAATAAATTATATTTTTCATTACAAACGATGATTTCCTTTTCCATGGAATTTATTTAATTAAACATCTAACCTTTTACTAAAAGTACATCCTCATAATGATCGTATCAGCCCTTAATATTCGTATATGTATATTAGTGTATATATAAAAAAAAAAGTTTAAAAGGAACAGTAAAAGTTGTTCGTCAAAAATAGCGGTCGAATTTGCTGCACAGTAGACAAGGCCTTTCACTTTTGATAAAATCTCGGTCAATTTGAGGGAAATTTTGTCAAGAAGTTCACTGGCAAAGAGAAACTTACTTGTAACTTTCTTTGAACAATATTTTTATGAAATATAAATCGAACGTCCCAATGAGAACATCATATCGTGTAGATTTGAACGATGTATTTTCCAAGTGTTTTCTGCACGGAAAAGCTGAATATCGTAAGACAACTGGATACAGTTTATTCGTCGTAACTTCAAAAATGGATTATCGACCCGACGTTATAAACTCGTCATACTTCGTCATACATCGTCATACTTCGTAATACTCCGCAAACCTTTGCAAGAGCGCCTTAAAAACGAACATACTTCATTCATATCCCATTTTGAATAAAATGCTCTTCTACTGTCAGAAAATTTACCTCATTGATTATACTTGGGAAATTTGGTACCAGTACGTTGATTTGTGTGACGTCTTTTAGGAAAAAACAAAGAAGAATGCAACATAAGCGGCGCGTAAAGATGTATGCGCGTTAGTTTACTGCGCACCGTAAGCGCCACTTTCGTACCCAGGACCGTATTATTAGGGAAATAACCATCCGTTCACAAGAAATAATCATTTTCCATATATTTATCTGTTCTCCTTATTTTTTTTTAAATATTTACATATAACTATGACGCATATAAAATTTAATGCATGTAAGATATGACGAATTAACTGATTGACAAAAATTTTGTTTCTTTGTATATAGTATAGTTTTAACTATGGAAATTAATTCTATCTTATCAAACTAGCTAATTTACGTATAATACTATTGACGGATAATAACATATTGATTAGGGGTATGCTTGAACTCATACATACGTTTATGAAAGTAAATCACATAATATTCTATTGGAAAATTAAATGTAACAATACTTTTTAAACGTATATACAATATTTTACCTGATTCAACAACTTTAATAGTTCCATGATAATCATTAGAAATTTGAAAAGTGTACAAAACACGTGCAATAATATATGTACCAATTTTTCTTGTAATGTATTAAACTATATCGATCGTTCGATTTAATTCGATTAGTTTCGATAAAAGATCACATATGATTGGTTTCTAATGCGTTACAAGAAAATGTTAATTGGTAAAAATAATTAGTTTCAATTGTTGTAAAAACATTATAATGAATCATATTGTTACTTATTATGCTTAGAATTAATAAGAAATAAGTTAGTCATTTTAAATATCGGTAGAAATAACGAATAATAAAGAAAAAAGAAATCGTATAAATGATGTCATGGATTCACGTAAGCCACGATTAATTTTTACTTAGGCAAAAATACTATAAGATATTTATTTCAAATTAATGAAAACCAAAAATAAGACCGATTTTTACTAGCTTTAATACTTGTACAATATTATCATGAATAACATCAAACCAGTTTTTTGGGTTTTACCTAAATAGAAGAAACGCGCTTACGCTTAAAATGACGACAGTTAAGTCATCCGGATGTTCCGCCGCGATCAAATATCTACGTGTGAATGCTCGCGTACGCACACTTTTGTAATTTCCGAAGAAATAAATAAGAAAATCCCCTCATTATTGTGTGAATAACCTATTAAACAAATCCAACCTTTAGAAAAAAAGTAATTCAAACTATATAATCATATTAAATTTCAGCAAAATCCAAACAATTACGAGGTCGGATAAATGACAGTTTTTAAATTTATCGAGATATCTCGAATAAAAAATGATGAAGTGATTATTATCGATTGATCGAATATATCGAAAAGATTCAATATGTTAAAAATATCAATCTTGGGAAAGTTATAATTTTTCAAGTGGATAGAAGAAAAGAAAAAATACAATAAAAAATAGATATGGTTGTGCGCCTGTGTGAGAAAAGTAAGTTTACGGCACTGCCTATTGACGTCTATTGGTAGGCGTGGCCTCAGAGCGCAGCCTGAAAGAGGGATATATTTACGACACGCACGATTGTCCTCTCGTGCGCCAACGGGTCTTGGCCGTTATTCGATTAACGATGTGGTGTATTTACAGCAGCAATAGCAACAGCAATAGTAACAGCAGTAACAGCAGTAGTGCAAGCTTTGATGCAAGCGGGACACGGTGGACGACCGCGGCCACTCCTCGACGTAGGGGTTGACTTTTCCCTCGGTCGCTACTGATTCTACGTCTTCGTTTTTGTCGTCGTCTTAGCCGTCGTCTTAGCCGTCGTCGTTGTCGTCGTCTTTGTCATCATCGTCATCCTCATCGTCATCGTTATCGTTAGCGTCATCGTCATCCACATCGTAATCGTCATTGTCATCGTCATCGTCATCATTACCATCGACGTCGTTCTATTTTGTTTGAAAGTACAGTGCGGGCACGTTACAACAACTTTATGTGATAGATCGTGCGTGCAACCGAGCGTACGTTTGAAAAAAAGAGAAAAATAAAAAAAACATAAGAAAGAGAAAGCGAGGGAGGGAAAGAGAGAAGACGAACGTACACGCGCGGCGCATACGCATACGTCGCGTATTCACGTCGTTTCAAGGGCCTCCTCGACGTAAGCTCTTCTCCGTCCCAAGAGGATCCACATAAGAGGATATACTAAACTCGATTTTTTCTTTTCTTCTTCATTTTCTTCCTTTTCTTCTTCTTCTTCTTCTTTCTATATTCGTCAAGCCCTCGAGAATGGCTACTATCGAAGGTGTCCCGATTCTTTTGATCACTGCAAACGTCGGCAGTATCTTCGAAGAGGTATGTTTTATTAACTTTGTTTATTTTTTATTTCGAAACTTTTTTACGATAAATATTCTATCTGCAAAAAAAAAAAGAAACAAATCATTCCTCATGTTTTTATTATATTCTTATCATTTTTTTCTCTTCTTTTCTTACGTCTCGATTTCTCATCTTGTATCCCATTTCGCGCGCTTTCGTCGTGTATATATTTAATTTTGCTTCGATTATGCTATTCTCTATTCGTGTACGTACATTTAATTTTTTAATTTTGCTATTATTAGCGATTGATTCGTTCGAAAGAAAACTGTCAAATGCGTGTTATGCCTTATTGAGTAATTTTTTCATTACCTCTTTTGAATATATATATATACATGTATGTATGTAAAATAAAAATATTTTATCGTCACAATTCAATTCAGTTTAACATGACGATTTATCGTTTAGCGTACGAATATTCTCATATAAATATGTATGCATGCGTGTATGCCGGTCTTGTTTCAAGTGCAAAGCATTTACCGCGAATCGAGGCGTACGATTGTTTGATGTTTGATTTACTGAATATAAACGCGCGCCTTTTTTTCTTCCCCCCCCCCCAACTTATTTCCAACGTAATATTTAATGTATAATTATATTTTAACGTTCTTTTAATGACTTTTGTAATAATGTTCTTTTCTTTTTCTTTTTTTACTTTGCAGCCTAGTGTCATGTTAAAGATATGGACAGAAGAATTTTTATCGGTAAGCTTTACTACCATCAATGTTATCTTGAAAATTAAATGGCATTAAGTCTCATCCTTTTGTAATTTCCTTTTATCAGACCATATCACGTTTGGATCCAAAGTTTATAGCGCTGCACTGCCAAGAAGTAGGTGGAAAGAATTATGAACAAAGTATGAGACATGTGGAAGACTTTGTTAGGTAAATATCTATTAAATTTCTTCTATTCTTTAGCTTTTCATAATTGAAATTTAGTTTATACAAATATATGTAAATTTGAATGCGTGGAGCTTTGATGACATACCAAAAGAATTGATTAAATGTGTCACATTATAAATAATTGAAGCACATTCTTAATATGGTCTGTAGTGTTTCCTGTATACTCTAAATAGTAAGTTGAATCTCATTAGTGGTTTCTTTAAAGGTTTCTACTAATCTGGTTATGCAAAAATTGTTACGTCCTAAATAGATTGTTATACTATTACGTGTAAATAATTCTATTGCAGTTCTAATTATATAAATGATATAATTAGTTTTATTATTCTACAATCAATTAATAATCAGCCTAGGTTTTATATTAATATTTCATATAGTATGCTATAATTAAAAAAAAGTGATATTACTTTTGTAATATCTTTTACTAATAATCTTCACATGATTTATCTTTGTAATATGATATGGAAATTATAAACCAGCCTTTGAAGGAACACGATAAAACAAATAGGTATCCTTGTTCACAATATTGAATGTGATTTAACGCATAAGCGGCAGAAAAGGATAAAAATAGAATATCACGCATGAATTTACGGTTGGTTGAACCACTTCAAAAGATTAGTTTATTGAATGATATCCGTGTGAAAGCACAATATAAAAAGAAGCAAGAAAAAAAAATCATGAGAGATCTTTAGGATTCTATAAAACTCATAGAATGTACAATATTTCTGTTTGAGCCTTTTAGCGTTTATCAATAACTATAATTTATTTTCCTCTTTAGATTACTAATGTCGTCAGAAGAACTAAGGCTGTTTGATAAAACAAGAGTATTCCTAGATGAAGACTATTCGTCGGCTGAACATTTTACAGTAAGTTGAAAAGTGTAATAATAAGAATTTAATTTTTTTTTTCAATACATTAAATTATTTAATCAATTTTTTTTTTTACAGGCACTGGGAAATTTTTATTTTATTCATGAGTCTTTAAAAGATGTTTTATTATGGGATTTTAAAGGTAGATATTCTATTAATCGTTATACTTGGAAAATTATCTAATAACAATAATATATATATATATATTAGAGAAGATAATTACTTTAAATTATATTAATTTTACTTTAATCTTTCTTTCTTGTTAATTTCAGAATGTGTTTTCGCACCGGTATTTGGCAAGGAAATTCATTCCGGTAATATAGAGGCGGTTACAACCAAAGAAAAAGCAAAATTCCCTCAAGACTTTTTTCCTGAATGTAAGTGGTCTAGAAAAGGATATTTGCGAACACGATGGAGTATTAGTGGAACTGTTTTTGATCTCATAAATATACACTTGTTCCATGATGCAAGTAATTTTATTGCAATGGAAACTGTAAGTTAGGAAATTTAGTTATGTGATAACGAATATCTTTTTCACATTACTTTTTTACTTCACAGTGCTGTTTTATAATTTCAGTTTCCATCCGTTTATAGTAAAACGCGCAGAAGAGCGTTAGAGCACACGTTAGATAGATTTCACAGTGACAAATATCCAAAAGCACCATACTTTTTATTTGGTGATTTTAATTTTAGAACTGACACTGCTGGTGTAATTAAGGTATAGAATTATTATCTTTATTGCATATTATAATGTATATAAATTTTTAATAATTATTTTTGTTATTGTAATTAATAGAAACTCACTGAAGATACTCAAGAAAAAAAATTATCAAATAAAGGAAATGTTTCGAAATTACAATTTCACAATAAGGAAAATGATCTTATATTATCATTGGGCAAAAAAGAATTCTCATATTATGAACATCAAAATGTTTTTGTTGATAATAGTGGACAATGGGTAAGTAGTGCATTATTGTTTATTTGTTTAATCTATTGTTACTTATCGCAATGCATTAATAATTAGGAACTCCATAATGAAATAACCGATGTTTATGCAGCTACGAGAATATGACAAGGAATTGGAAGACTTTGAAGGAAGATTGTTTGAATTTCCAATTAATTTTATTCCAAGTTATCCTTTTCAAGAAGACGTAAACGAAGCTACAAGTTACATGCAAACTAGAGTGCCAGCTTGGTGTGACAGAGTATTACTGAGCCCCACTGCAAAAATGCTAGTCCAAAATGTACGCAATATAAACTTTTATTTCATTCAAATGTTACTCGCTTTAACTCTTTGCGGTCAAAGGTTATTCCTGGCAAGACATTTTTTTCTATTTACTGTTGTTTAAAAAGTGAATCCTACGCAACTTAGCTTATTGTACTACACAAATATTATATACCGTGCATAGAAAATCTAAAGAAAAAATAAGCTTCAAACTCTTAATCCGTAGGAGTAGGCTTTCCAGGTAATAATTAATTGCATCGCCTACAGATTATTCATGCTGAAAAATATTATAACCGTAAAGAATTAATAGAAAACCTACTAGATAATTTTATACTCTACATAGTATATAAATATATATATCTTTTCTTTTTTTTACAGATATCCTCTTCTAATGCAGTAGAGTATGGCATAATAGGAAGAACAACCTGCATGGGTGATCATAAGGTAAGATAAGTTATAGATATTTCACAAGAAAAAAATCTTACTATATTTATTATACTCGGTACATATATATTTACACACTTCCTAAAATTTATTCTGATGATCCACTGTTTTAATTATTATGGTGCAGCCTGTTTTTCTGGAGTTTCGAATGAATCTCTAAGCATTAAGGTACTATATGAACTGTCTGTATATTTTTCTCTTTGGCTTCCCATGTATTTTTTTATTTTTCTTAGATCTTTGTTGCTTTGTTTGATTATATATTTATTGAGATCCTTTGGATGTAGTATCACAGCCCAAATCTTACATTCTTCATGAATTTTGACTTGCTAGCTTTACCATCATTAACCAAAAAAAGAAATTATTTATAATATTCAATATATTGTTTTTTTTTGTGTCTATACTAATATACATTTTGAGAATAATTTATATAAAAGGAAAATTATTTTTACGAAGAGAGTTTACTTTTTATTACTATGATTTTTTTTTTTTGTTATCCATTAGTATAGCACTGTTTTATAATACTCCTTATATTATAAAAATTTTGATAACGATGGATAGATGTGAATCATGTATTTGAATTAATTTTCCTCTATAATTGTACCTTATAAAATCTAAGAAAACGAGCTGACGAATGTTATCCACAGACCACAGATCACAGGACACATCATTACAACATCGAATCATGTTGATATTAGTTAACCTTTATGTAGAACTCCAATATATTAATAATATATTTCCAATTTTGTTGAAGGTATTCAATGATGTGTTAGTTTGGTGTTTTTTTTTTCATTTTTACAGCCAGTCTACTTGAGGATTAATCTCGCATCAGTAGCAGGTATGATTAATTGCTGCAGCTTGCCATGTGCACCAGAGTTTTGCTTTCAAGTTCCTGACAATTATTTGGATTTGTTACCAATGTTGCCTGATTGCACTAGTTACGTTAGAGCACAAATCCTTTGTGCTGATCGTTCATCCAACCTATTGCACGCAGTACCTATTAAGCATGATCCCTATACTCCAGACAGTATGGACAGTCCAAGTCCAAATGCTATTTTATTGTCAGGTGAGATTCCTGATCTAGATATCGATCAAATGATTGATGCTAGTGATAGTGTTTTAACACTTCAATCAGCTCATTCATCAAATATACCAAGACGTATTGATAGAGCTGTATCTCCAGCTTTGTTGAAATCAAAATTAGAATTAATTGCACGTGATAAAAAACGTGAAGCAGACATGGAACGACGGTCCGTTATGAAAAAGAATTCAAGTCAAGGTCGCCTACGTTCATGGCCTGAAATTCAAGAACAATATTCAGAAAGAGAAAAAAGGAGATACAATAGTGACATTTTATGGCAAAGATCATCTATATTAACTGAAGCTTGGATCAAAGGAAAAGGTCAACAGGGGTATCATCATTTTTATGACTCTAGGAATTTTTCAACTTGTAATTTAAATTCTCCTGGTGGTGAATTGATTATACCACGTATAGCAATAATAAACGCAAGTAACATTGAATCTAATGAAAGTTCAGTTTACTTGAATGATAATAAATGCAATAATTATTTAGATAGTAAATCAAGTATATATTCAAGTAGTCAAACTAATCTAGCATATGAAGAGCCTTTAAATGCAGAAACAAGAGTTCAGGAACTTTATGCGCTATCTGCTGCAGATGACTTTGATTCATCGAAACAAAATGAACAGAGATACTTTAATAATAAATCAATAGAAGATATAACATCAGTAGATAGCAGAATAAACGAATTAACGGAGGAAACTTGTGGTGAAAATATTTATAATTTACAAGATATAGGATCAAATGTAAATTATGAAAATCAATGCAGTGAAATGCAAAAAAGCAGCAAAGCGAATAGTATTGTAATTACTAAAAATGTAAATTTATGTGATTCAAGAGATAATTTGGAAAGTGAGGAAATTCACTCGAAAGAATTTTCTATTCAAGTTAACAGTATAAGTAAAGAAGAGTGTAGGAAACATGAAAGAGTAGTTAATATACAGTCACAAATTATGAGTCAAGAAAAATATGATGGTGATATAAAAACAGCTTCTTCGAGCGTATGTAGGATAGTAGGAAATGATTTGGAAATATTGAGGTGTGAGAGTAAACTAGAGATGGCTTCCAAAAATACTACTAGAAGTAATTCAATAAAAAGCCAAGATATTAGTGATAATACAGGAAATGTTAGATTAAAATTGAAAGCTTATAAAGTAACACAAAAATATAAAAATAATATTGTACAAAAACAGAGTAGATGTCAAAGATGTTGCTGTGTCATTTCATGAGAGTCATTATTCATTATTGTTTTCTTTAAATACATGTATGTATACATGTTTTCTTTAATTTTTCTATCCCATATGTTTCTCATTACAATTCTTATCACTTGCATAGAATATTTATTGAACATAAATCTTTCTATTTCATCTTTATATTTCCAGTTCAAACTATGACTGATTGTGACTGGTATAAATCAAAGATTCATTATTTAAATATTTCTTATCAAGAAAAATAGTATTATATTTTCTTACGTCCATTAAGAAATGTCATAATGAAGTAGAAAAAGAAAATTAGAAAGATTAGAAAAAAAAATAGAATTATACTAGAGGAAAAGAATTTTAATATATTTTATCTGAAAGTAGGACTCGAATATTATATCTTATTTTAAATGAAATATTGTCTGACTTACTTCCTGCTTATATTTGTAAAATATAAATATTTTCCCTGTAGTTGCATGCCATGTGAAGATTTTAATAGATGCATCCGAAGCTTCATCATACTGCCTTGATAATTATTTTTTAACAAATGCTGAAAAATACAAATTTACTTTGCACTCTAAAGTTTACAATCAATATACATTCAATATTCGAACTATATGAGCTTTGAAAGATTTATTATTAAGAGAAAAATAATATATTTCTATAATATTTCAATTATTGTACTTGGCTTACTCGTAATGCATGTTTAAAATAAATCAAACATGGTTTAAAAATATTATTTTCTAAATATAAATATAATATTATCTTTGGAATCTATGATATCAGTATTTCTTATGTAAATTGACGATGACTTTATTTTGAAAGAGTTTCTAATTTCAATAGTCTAGAAATAATATTGTCAATTTTTCTATTAAACAATTTCTTCTTAGGTTTCATTTCAATTTCCTATTGAAATCCTGCTTTTTTAACGCTTTCAGAGTGTATAATTTCTTAATTTAAGCATGTCTCGATCCTTTTTTTTTTGCATGTAAAGTGATATCTAGGAGACTTATTTATATCCATAAAGCAATCATTATATCTATATGTGTATGTATACATGTGAACTTAATAGCCAAAGCTCTAGATTTTTATAATTCTATAAGATATATATTAATTTAATAGAATATATATTGTGAACATATGACAGTATAACGTAATTATTTTATAGTCTTTTATTTATACATTTTTAAATAATCTATGTCTACATAATTTATGTATTATTCAATTTCGATGTTTAGTGTGATATTATTTTATCATACAAAATTGCTAACTTATGTATATAATGTAGAATAAGTAGCCGAAATTAAAATGATTGATTTTCTATGTATTATATATACATATATACATAGAATAAATAATTCTTTAGAAAGATCTTCAAAATAGTTAAATTAATAAATGGTAACTCAACATCTAACAATGTTTTTCAAACAAATGATTTTTAAGTGTTCGCAATAAATGTACGTTCGCTGTTATCAGTCTGAATAATATTGTAATTATATAATTAGCTAGATGCTTGGGGAAAAGAGTTTAACTACAAAAAGTTTTATTTTAAATTAATATATTAAACAAAAAAACAATTTATTCTCTACAAACTTCGGTGGGAATCATTTGCAAATATTGTAAATGCAAAAGTAGAAATTAATCGAATTTCTATTCTTGTAAATATAGATTTATTTATATATATATATATTCACGGATTATATTTATTTATATTACCTGTTTATGCAATTTTATAAATGAAATCGATCAACTAAAAGTCAAATTCAAATTTAATATATTTTTATATTTTAAGTTCCAGAGATGTATATATACATAATAATTGTTATATAAGGTGTACAAGTTTTTTTGCTTTCGCCGTTTCAAACGTTGAGAAAAAGAGAACAAAATGTATATATATGTATATGCATATATATATATATATATATATTTTTATGATTTTGACAAGATGTTTTGTGTGGACATTAATTTTATTGAATATAGTTTATTTTTGCCTAATTTTAATTTCATAGAAATATACAATAGCGTGTGTTATGAGTGTCTGCACGACGTATTGCCCTCTTTCTGTGTGTTTTATTGTTTTTGATTTGAATTACGCAGTACAACAGATCAAACTATATATCTACTCATTTAACAATCTAAATGAATACTTAGGGAAAGAAAATAATGAATAAATTATCTACATATAATAATTAATTTGAAGATGAATAAAATCTCGATCTGCATTACTGCGTTAAATAAAATTCAAGAAGATTAGTTACATTATCGTTCCTGGTCATATAGACAGAGCAATGGCGTTCCATGAAACAGAGAAAAATATGAATTCTGAGTTGAAGAGTATCAAGATATTAAACAATAATAACGAGAAAAGTGTAACAACATTAACGAGATACGTACACGTGAAGCATGCAGATTCAACGGTAAAGATTTTTAAAGAAACAACGGTATGATAACGCCATTACGATAATCACTTACGAAGACCTTACGAAGGAGAATTCATCTAAACTCTAACTGACGTATTAACGTCTAATTAGTGTTTTTTTATCTTATATCAATCGTAAAAAGTGTAAATAATATCTCTTACAATTAGTAATGGATTGTTTCGAATGAAATCACGTGATCTAAGACCACGTGATCTAAAACCACGTGATTGAAGTTGTACGCAGCTTCGTGATTAAAGAAAACAAAAGAGAGAGAAAGAAAGAGAAAGCATGAATGATTGAATGAATGAATGAAAGAATGGATGAAAGAAATAATAAAAAAAAGAGAACAAGAGAATTTACTGCTTTTGTGGTAGATAATAGGCTTCCATTAGTCCAATAATCTGAAGGTTTTTGGATGAAAATATTACATGTATACAAGGAAGATCGTATTAAATAACAAGTTGTTGTTTTTGTGTTTGACGAACCTACACGAAGGGTGCTTTGATATATCTTGTAATATTAAAACCATATCGATGTTCCTACGCAATGTTATATATAGAAAGTGAACATTACTTAAGGTTATATAGGAGGTGTATTCGTTGGACTCCATATAATCACCTTTTTCGAACGAATTTCGATCAAATACCGTAATCGTTAATAACTAAATTGGCAAGTGATTTTGATTTCGAAATTTTCAAAAGATAAAACAGTATTTGATCTGATTTCGTTTTTAAATGAATACCGTTGCCAAATACATAAATGGAGCATTTTTTTCAATTAATTTTTCTCAAACGATTTTGCCAATTTGCCTTCTCGTCCTTGATGACATCGTCCATTCACGTAGGAAATATTATGAGTATTGATTTTAAATATATACCATATTCGTATACGTTGATAATAATAAAATAAACGTAAAAATATATTGATCAAGTTGCTCATAATTTTCCTACGTAAAAACTGCCCTAATTATATCATTTTTTATCTTGTTAAACGTCGTTTGAGAAATGCCGATGACAAAAATATGATATTTATGAAGCAACGCAAAGTATTAGTTAATAAATATTATGAAAAGTTCATATTATATCGGAAGCTAAATAAATGCATAGATGATTAAACGACCCACCGTAAATAATGCATTCACGCAGGTACATTCCACTATTATAGTTTATTCTATAAAATGGTTTTGAGAAAATCGAAGACGAATAATATTTACAAGGAGGAGAAAGAAAAGATGGATAGGTAGATAGATAGATAGTACGATCTATTGCAAAATTCAGGATATGATTCTACAATTGAAATCATTTTCTTATGTCAATAATATAAAATGATCTGAGATTATGTGTTACGTACTATGGCGTATCGATAGAAAAGCGTGTTTGTCTGTTATAACAAGTATTATTAAATGTTCATGCTATATTCTTGTTATTATATAGATTAATCTCTGAGATATTTCTAAAATAGTGTGAACAAAAAAATATACAATCGGTGTCCAATGCTATACGCTTACAACTTATTTATTATACTATAAGCTATATAAGAAAAATTAGAAATGATGCATTTCATATATTTTGCGTTAGCTGCATATACAATAACATGTAAAAAAAATATTATTTTTGTGCTAATTAATCATTTTATTCTATAGATATATCTATATATATATATATATACATACATAAATATATTTGTTCGCGAAAAATGACTTCAATGTTAAAATCGTTTTTGAATGTACCTGCTGCGACTGTTAGTCGCATACCGCTTCTTATATTTGAGAAACATATTTATCAAATGTTTTGATCTTCTATGTAATCCGTCTAAAGTACTTAAAGTGTAAGCCTCCAAATCAAATCAAGTATATATTTTATTTTGAATATGTGTTTTGACAAACGAATGAATGAATTAATTAAGTAACTTATTGATTAATTTTTTGTAATTATACTTTTGTTGAATTTACCTTTATATTACATTCGTACGATCGAGACTGCGCCAAAATAGAATTATTCGCTAAATTTTGCTACGACCTTTCAAACGTGAACCTTTTACACAACCATATATCTCGAAAATAATAATCCTTTGTGAAAAAAAAGTGTGTATAAAAAGAAAAAGAAAAAGAAAAAAGATATACAAAAAAAAAGTTAAAAGAAGAAAAAAAAAAGAAAAAAAGAAAAATATCATTCCTCCCGCCGGCTATGCCAATAGAAATTGTGTATATTGTATATCGTGTTAATCGTTTCTTAATAAGTAAGTAATTTAATGCTGGATTAATTCCGCTGATCGTTCAATCCGTCTAATAAGATTTTTCTAAAGAAAATGTTTGATCTTTTGGATCTCGCGAATCCGATTTTCCGAAGAAACTCACTGTGATTTTGACGTTTACGTTGTTGTACAAACTCGATTCCGCGATTAATTATTTATTAGAAATATTGTCTCTGTAAAATCGATTCGCCAATTTCAAAATGTCTCTTTTCAAAATATGTATCTAGATTTTTATTTTTTGCTTTAACGGATCGATATGTTGTACTTTTATATACATTTAATACGGACGTACTTATATTTTGTACTTGGAGTACCTTGTGAGATTATTATATTTCATATATATACATATATATATATAGAAATAGATAAGATTATGACATAGTGCATATAGCGAAATGTTTTTCGTTTTAATTGTTAAATTTAAATGGTATATGTTTAGGTTTTTATTTTAAGATATTTTTTATTTCAATTTAAAAAAAAAAAAACATAAAAAGTTACACATCAAAGTTTATTTATGTTCGAATGAAAGGAGATTTAGAGAGAGAGAAAAAGAGAGAATTATCATTTATTTCTATAAGAATACAAATGGATAATAATTAAAAAAAAAAACTTAGATTATATTAGATAGTTAAGCATACATTATATCTAATTGTTATAATCGATGGATATTTTTTCATATAGATCAACGATTAAAGCGAGGTACAATTGAATTTATATGTACAGACAGCTGCGATTAATATTGAAATTATTTATTGTTATTTTGTCTAATAATTCATTTTTGTATTATATTAAAAAAAATCTTCAAAAATTAATTAGTATAATTAATATTAACTAGTGTAATTATGTTGTTGGTCGGATACTGTATAATATGTGTTATGCGAACGATGTAGACTGCAGAAACCTGTTACCAATTGGCTCATAGCCAAGTACAAACTTGTCATTATTTGTTTTATGTATTAAAATAAATAAAGTTACTGTTCTGTAATAAATATTTATTAATATTAACATTAATAATAATATATGTTACTATGTTATTATAAATGATTTAGTTTTATTTTTTTAAATATTAAATTTTTGAGTAGTGGTAGCCTTGATACAGTGTTTCCATCCGTCACATAATTATCTTAAACGTCACATAATTTGAAGCATTGTACGATCGTACATCCAACTTTGATTATGTGAAAAAAATCTACGATAATATGAGACTAGTAAGGTAATTGTAAGATAATTTTAAATAAGCTTAATTGATAATATTTCGTATTGAAATATTTTTATCCTCCACTGGTTTGAAAGATGCAGCGCCTCACCAGCAAATTATTGTTCTCTACTGAGAATAATACTTTCATGAAAATTTTCCTTATCTCATTTTCGTCATCTCATTCTTTTAATTAAAAATTTGAATAACGTGCTGTGCGCGCGCCTTAATTTCAACCAATTAGAAATCGTATGCAAATTTGTATTGCAATATTAATGTTTAATAAATAAATAAATAGTCAAAAAAAATATTGATGATTATTCGTTACCGCGTATATTTCAGTAAACATGTTTATGAAAAATATTTTCAATTTTATTTAAATATTAAATTATCCCATAGATTTAAAAGTAAAATGAAACGACATCTACAATTTTAAAACATATTAGCCTCATGTCAGTGCTGTACTGTATGTAATATGTAACCTGTTCCTATCTAATTAATAGATATTTATTTAACACAGAAGTCTTCATTATTTTTTACATTTTTCAATAAAAATATTTATAACTTAATTCCAACAGTAATGAATCTGCCAAATAAACATTTAGATTATAAAGATTCAGTCAATTAGTTAAATTAAAAAATTTTATTTATACGTACGATAATTTTTCGGTAAACCCGACAATTTTACAGCACTGTGTCGATCAGACGACAACCAAAAGTTTCTGGGATCACTGTATCGAGTTATAATGTAATTTGAGGCCTTGTACGATCGAAACTTCAGCCTGTACGATCCAATTTGGAATTTCGAAAACTTGATGACCTTTTTTTTTTTTTTAGTCATCAAATTTTGCAGGTGCACCACCACCACCACCACCACGATCCGTGTACGATCTGTGTATGATCTCTGTATGAACAAGTATTTCTCCCTGCGGTACGCCGTTTTTACCGTTTTTACGATAGGGTTTTGAACTTGATGACTAAAAAAAAAAAAAATTTTTTTTTACGATTTGATGGTCTTCCAATGGACTTATCGAACCGCCGATTAGACCAACGTAACTATCGACGTTTGCTACCTAAAAAAAAGGTCATCAACTTTGAAAAAGTTGGAACTTGCACTCTTTTTTCAGATTTTAAAAATCTCGTTCGAGAAATTGTGGCGTCTCGCACCAGCGCAGTGCTGACACCTCTCGGCCAACAGCGCGTAGCTGTAGCAGCGCGCGCAGGAAACGTGCTGACATCTCTCGGCCGACAGCACTAACTTACGCAAGCACCTCGTATCGCGGTTCCACAGGGGCATCCGATTGGGCCTGACCACGCCCTTTTGGCCTGCCAGAGCGGAAGAGTGACCACTGCGACCGTTGCTCTCCCCACTTCCGGATGCCTGGATCGCCGTAGCGGTACACACGCAGGAAGAAACACTTCACTTCTGCTTCGTCCATCGCACCGTCCGGTCGCATTCTTCTCATCGCGCTCTCGTGTACAAACTTATTCTCTGTACGTGACCACGTGGCACACCACGCCGACAAATAAAATATCGTCCTACGGGATCAAAGAAATAAACAGAAATTTCTTTCCTCCACACGGAGTTCATTGGCCCATTCCTTGCGTCAGTGCAAACGCACCCTAACGCGCCGAGTAACCTCAGGGAAGGAAATTCCTAAAAAATTATCAAATTTCAAATTTTTCCCGGGGCGTACGATAATTTTCCGGCGTGTAAGATAATTTTACGCCCCTGTGTCGATCAGACGAACTAAAGTCTCTGGGATCACTGAGCTAACCTCTAGTCAACAGTTTAGTTCGTTAAGAAGATTAATTATTTTCTAGATTTTCAAATTAAAATAATTCAAAATGAGTAAAGCACATCCTCCAGAACTCAAAAAGTTAGTATAATTTTAACTATATATTATAAATTAAACTTTGAATTGTTTGTAAGTTCGATTATATTAGTTTATTAGATCATATATACTATTTTAAGGTTATGTACTTGATGTATACAAAATAATGATATTTTTGTTTTATTTATTTGTAGATACATGGACAAACGTCTTTCACGTGAGTAGAAATAAATCAAATAATACTAATTAAATTATTGTAATATTGATAAAGATATGAATTTTTTTTTAGTAAAATTAAACGGTGGAAGACATGTAATTGGAATTTTACGTGGTTTTGACCCTTTTATGAACATGGTAATTGATGAAAGCGTAGAAGAATGTAAAGGTGGAGTAAAAAATAATATTGGTATGGTGGTGAGTAATATATCCATCTTGCAATTAAATATTTTGTTATTCGATATTCGATAATATTAATATTTTCTATTTTAGGTAATTCGAGGAAACAGTGTAATAATGTTAGAGGCGTTAGATAGAATATGAGTTAATAGTATAATTATAAATTTATTTTTCCATAATATGAAATTTCGAATAAAAACTACTTTATTAAATATATAGCTATGCAAATGTATTCATTTTTTATTGTATAAAGTTTGTCAAATTACTTTTACATTTTGTCCTATCTATCTGTTAATGAACGATACGTTTAACTAAATTTGTATAAATGAAAGCAAAATAAATGACAATATTTCTGTAACAAATAAACAGAATTTGAAATGTAAAATTACATTTTATATTCTTGTAAAGTATTATGGTACCTTATTAAATTGTATGATGTGATACAATTTTTATATATATATATTATAGAAAAAATTATTATACCAATAATCGTCATGGTATAATATCTTATATAGGTTATGAATAAAAAGTATTAATTTTTTAATTTTTAAGAACATATATCAATGAATATTCCTTTCAATACATTCATTATATCTATATATATTATGAAAGGCATCTAAAAGGCTACCCTCAATTCGAAGTTCTGTGACATTTTTTCTAATTTCCAATAGAAATCAAGAAGTTCCGGTGGTTCTAGTAACGCAAAAATTAAAGAAATGTAACAGGAGCACATAATGATACAGAAGGTAGCATAAAAAAATACTTGTCATCACCTAGATGGCTTATTGGTTGGAAATAATGCAAGTAATATCCAATGAATGTATAAAAAAAAATAAAGACGGTCGATAAAATAGTTTGAGATCTGATGGTAACTTATCGACCGTTAAAGATCCGATGGTAACCTACCGATCGTCGAATATTTATCGACACTATTTACTTGTTTCTGTACTTTCATTGGATATTATTTGCGTCATTTCTAACCAATGAGAAATCTAGGTGGTGACGATAGTATTTTTTTTTCGTGATACCTCCTATATCATCTTGTGCTCCTGTTACATTTCTTTAATATTTGCGTCACTAGAACCACTGGAACTTCTTGATTTCTATTGGAAATAAGAAAAAAGTCATCAAAACAACGAATCGAGGGAGGTGTTTCATAGTATATAATAGAAATACTTAATATATCGATAGATACATTTTTATTAATATATTTTCAAACCACACATCAGATATATTTCATTAAATTTTAAGATTATATATTATTTCCAAGAATTTGTAAAGTACTTTGTAACATCAAAATATATATTTTATAATATTTCTAATGGTAAGAGGTAAATAAAATTAAAATATGATTTCGGTAATCAATGATATATACGTGTATGTATATTTGTATATGAAGAATTAGTTATTTTTGTAATAGAAAATGATAAATATAAATAAGAATTTTTGCGGTAAGAGGGAAATGAAAGAAAGTATGAAATACTAGAACTGTCACTTTCTCGTAACAGTTTAACGGAATGCTTGATCTCCGATAAATTGATATTACTTCCTTCCGTGAACAGTAATTTGACTCGACTTGATTCGAGAAAACATATGTAATGTATTGAAAGGTGAAAAATGCTGTACGTTTGACGAATACAAAGCGATGGTTTCAAGAAATGATCGTAACAGGTTTTCTTTATCTGGCCTGTTGACCAACTAAGAGATATCTTGATTTTTTCGCTTAAATGGGAAATTCGTTAAAAGGTTCATCGAATGCCAGTTATGGCTATCTTTTCATCAAGAGAGAAAAAAAAAGAAGAAGAGACAAAATTTGAAGAATAATAAATTTTATTAAAAAAAACAACGATATAAAATGATGAACACGACGTAACAAAAAAAAAAAAAAAACAAAAACAAAAATAAAAAACAAAATAAAGTACAAGCAAAACTTAACAGAAATATGTAAAACAAATTGACTACATTATTCTAACTATGTACAAAAAAATCAAGTGATTTCTATGATCGAAATGATAATTTGATCAATTGTTATCATGAAACGATAACTATTTCTCCTAAGTTATTAGAATTGTTGTTTACAAAGAAAATAATTTAATTCCTTTGAAAGGCCTAAAGGAAAATTGTTATGATTAATGATGTTCCGATGAAAAATCTGGTTGAGATGGTTGGAAATGGTCTTGTTCGTAATGTCCAGGTGATTGAACGGTATAAGTAGTGTATTTAGATTCATGACCAACATGATCATCCTCTCCTCCGGAATATCCTCCAGAATATCCTCCAGAATATCCTCCAGAATGTCCTTCTGATTGATGATAAGGTATTGGATGTGGTACAGGATAAAATACTGGCTTTGGAACAGTTACTGGATGTGGTACGGGTACTGGTTGTGGTAAAGGCACCGGCTTCGAAACCACTAATGGCACTTGTTGATGGACCTCAACTGGAACCGGCTTCTCCACCTCTACTGGCACGTGTTCGGGAACTTTCACTATCTGCGGAACCGGAACAGCCACGGGATGGTTTACCGGCACTGGAACTGGTATATGATGGGGTACCTAATTAAGAGAAAGGATTACCAGAATAAATCGATGTAGAACTATCGACATACATCCTTCGAAAACACATTTTGATAAATAAGTGAAGATTAAATCGAGATAGATAATACTTTAACAAGACTGGATAACGAATGTCAATGTAAGGGATCATATTGCGAATGCACAAGTGTCATGTTTCAATATCACGTTTCACTTTCCATTACTTTCTTAATATCATGTCTCCGTAAGGGTGTCAGTATGTATCTTTTCTGCTAATTAGGTAGCAACTAGCGTAAAAGTTTTTTTTTTAAGAATAATATCTATCATTTTGTGAAACGTACCTTAACCGGATATGGAACAGGAACCTTGATAGCTACTGTTTTTGTAACCTTGATAATTTTCGTGGGTACTTCATTTAGTTGGACCGATTGCGAAATGAGCTTCGGATGACCGGAGAATCCATGATGACCTTCGTAGGATGAAAAATGTGAAGCTTTAACTCCTCCTATCACTGCAACGATCGCTAAAAACTACAAAGCGTTTTATTTCGTTATACATCTAAATACAAAATGACAAACTAGTAAGAAAAGAAATATAAAATAAAAAAGTGAAATTTCAATCGAAATATGTAGAAACGAAAGGTAAATAATTACTAAGATAAGAAGTCGAGGACTTTCACTGAAAAAAAAAACAACACAAAATCGAATATTTAATGGTAAGGTAAAAAAAAAAAAAAATGAAAAAGATAAAAAGCACGATCGTATCCCCATGATTGATAATCACAGTTGATCACGTGGTAGAAACTTACTAATCGTAAAACGAGCATCTTGACGCGTCGTTAGAAGAATCTAAGGGTGAAATCTGTGTTGGTTCAGTAAAGGAATGAAAGAAGGTGCACTGACAATTGGAGTGCAGTCAGTTGCTTATATACGAAGACCTTCACCATCGTTGGTTGACGAAGAAAGCACTCTCTTTCCGACTGGCTTGCGTTCGCCAATCTCGTCTCCATCTTCTCTCCTTTTTCTAACCTTCCTTTTTTCAACATCCGAGGGAGTTCGACGACCCCTTTCGCTCGATCGTTCGAAAGGATCGAACGGAATCTAATTTCCTATCTACGTTCCAAAATATATTTTATTTTACATTGCAATTAGAATTGATCTGGTAAATAACATATATGTAAATGATTACTAAAAAGTCTTCTCGAATTTTGAAACCTGTGGTTAATGGTAGATAACAAACATGAATAAAATCAATGGTTATGTTGTGCAACATATAGTCGTTATGTTAAGTGGCAAAACGTGTATTCTTTTTACTATACTTTTGACCTCGGCCATCGACGAACATAGACCAAAATTTCGTATACTTGTTCTAACTTTAACAAGCTTGTAAATCTTTTCTATCAAAGTACTCATGAAATAACTGCGAGTTATGCTAGAGGAAATGAATTTGCAATTTCCTTCGATTTCCTATTATGCGTGCAAGTGGAAAGAGAGAGAGAGAGAGAGAGAGAGAGAGAGAGAGAGAGAGAGTAATTGTCGTATTTTCAAAAGTATCCTATAGATATATAAAGAACGAAGTAGAGAATAGTGAAAGGATGATTGACTGAAAGTCTCTTGAGAAGAACTTTGAAAGTAAAAGGAATATGCAAATGGTTCAAAAATTTTTCTTCTTAATTTTCATAAAAATGTGACGAGTCAAATAGAATAATAATTATTTTTTTTTCTCTTTTTAGATTTAGTCACAAATTTTTCGGATGGAATTTAATTTAAATCTATTCGTTTCTTCTTTTGTTTTTTATTTTTTTTGTTTTTTTGTTTTTTTTTTCGTCAAATTGCTCTTAACTATTGTTACCTTGATCAACTCTCTCGTTATAGTCGAGTTGTTTTTCATGGTAGACTATGTTGAAGAATCGATTCACGTTACGTTACAGATTCTAAAGACATTTTTAAAGTTCGACGGAGAAAGGCACAAAGGTACAAAAGGAAGGAACGGAAACTTTCCTAAAGGCGTATGCTATACCAGGAAATATACACACTCAGTACGATATACAACGTCGGGAAGTTGTACATTTGGATGAGAAAAAAATTTATAGGAGAATGTGAACAATTCTTATAGATCTTTTTCATCTCTCTCTCTCTCTCTCTCTCTCTCTCTTTCAAAAGAAATAGATCTATGAGATATAAATAAAAAATATAAACGAATAAATGTGCCCATAATTATGAAAGTGGTCTAAGTAATATATCTCTTGTTTCGAGATATTTCAAGATTTATATTTGAACACTATTTGAATTCTACACAATATTGAAATAACAAACATTATCTAACTATTCATTTTTGATAATATCGTGAAAATCATATTGAACTAGGGGTGCCCCGCCCCGCGTTGCTGTGGTTCACAATCAGCAACGAATTACCTTATACCGCCATCTGTTAGAATCTTATCGAACTGACAGAGATAATCATGACTCTTTGTTAATAAACAAATAATTCGCAATAAAATAATATTGCGATTATAAATTGAGATATAAACTATTCTATCTTTCAAGTTAGATGAAACTGCACACAGTGTGCAAAATTTGATTAAAATCGATTCAGTAGTTTAGGAGTCCATTGCGGACAAACAACGTGACACGTAATTTATATATATTGAGATTTATTTAGTTTATAATAATGTAGTGCGTAATAACTGATAAACTCATTTTTTATTAATTTTGATAACTTTCATAATTATGGGCACAAATGAATAAATGATATAAATTATAGAGTAGAAACAAAATCAATATTTTAATTAAATTTAATATTTTGTTATTTGCCGAATTGTTACTCTTGGAAAATAACTTTTACTAGGTGCATTTAATTTGTTTTATCAATGCAGTTGTTTTTTGTTTAAAAAGAAAAGAAAAGAAAAAAACTATTTCGATAGTAGCTAATAAAAAATTTGTATCGTGTATTAAAAGACAAAGAAAAAAAAAATACATTTTATAAAGACGACTTTTATAATTTTAAGTTAATAGGATTACAGAACTTATTTTATCGATCTAAATCAATTTGCATATTTAAACGATCTTCTTATGCAATTCTATGCAAAATATTGAAGAAGCTTATACAATCTTATAAACAGAAATGTAGGATAAGGTATCTATTGATGATGGTAAAGAAAGAGAGAGTGGGACTTTGAACGGATGATACTTAACTAAATGAGTCTCCAAATATTCGATATTTTACAAGCTGTCAAGGTTACAAAACCATAAAAATGGAACTACAATTTAAATACGAAACAACAAGACTAATCACATTCTATTCTGCAGAACTTAATATGGGATGGAATTTATAATAATCTCTGGTCTTTCGTGAACTTTTCAAAATGATCAAGTCAATCGTAATAATCTTGAAATAAAATGTTTTTCGTAATAGTTATTTCGTAATAATATAGTAATATCAATAAAATTTTAAACATTATTTAATCTGTTATTCTATTTTATATTGTTAATTCAGTATTATTTATTAACGTTTAAAAATGTGAAAATAAAAATGATTTCATATAAAAAAAAGAAATTAATTTTTTTTTTAAAGAATCTACTACATTTTAGAGATCTAAATTAATTCATTTACAAAATTTAATTCATAAGATCTCGTGAAAATTGTCTCTTTATTTATAAGTTTAAAAAACTTATTAATATTTAATTCCTTTTAGAGGTTAAGTTAGCTCGAAAGTCACAAAAAAAAGAAACATTAACAAACATGTGCAAGAATTATGATATAACATTTAGATAATTTTTAATATATATATTATAATATATACTATTAATACATATATATATATATAAATAATAATTTATATTAAATTAATAAATAATATAATTAAAATATATATTTAATTTACATACGCTAATAGTACAAAATATTGAAAAATATTGAATACATGTGTTCACATTTTGTCACATATGTAGTTTTCAATATTTTGTGCTACTAGGGTATATAAATTAAATATATAAAAGAAACCCCATTAATGCATTATACATAAATATTTATTGTGGGTATATTGGTCATAATTTTTGGTCAAAATAAAACATATTGAAATAAAAAATAAAAGAAAGATATCTTTTTTTGTCGCGTTGGAAATTCATCGAATTGAATCCTTAGGAGTCAATTAAAAAAATCTAGTTCTTCCCAATGCCACCTGGATTACGACATCATTCGGGGCCAACATCTGCCAGGTATAAAAGGTCGAAATACTTCGAAAAGATGCTCAACTTCTCGTCATACTCCGAACGACCAACATGAGATTTCTTCTGCTAACAGTGGTAAGGGTGTTTTTTAATCAACCCTGTGTTTTTTTTTCTCTCTCTTTACAAATTTCTTTCTTTCAATAATTTTTTTAATGTAAAACTACAGACATACTAATTTTTAGTATTTTAAAATATTATTTTAAACATTATGTAAAAACGGAACGTTTTGTTGAATCAAATAATTCTTGAAGAAAAAAAACATTTGTTTATTACAAGTTTAATATATAAAAAAAAGTAACAAAAGATCGTATGGGATAGAAGTTGGAAAAGAAAATCGCTTCTATAATAATTGTCTAAACCTGTTATATTAAGCAACACGATTGACGAATACAAATGATCCTCGAATAGAATATTTCTACATTTAATTATCAATTTAATTAATCTTACTTATTTTTCTTAAATAATAGATAGGTTGATTTGATTTGATTTGATTTCTGTTTGTTCAATAGTTGTGCTCGGTGGTAGCATTAACAGTTGCTGTTAATAAACCAAAGAGAAATATCTTACCTGGTGATCCACGTTACGGAACTGATCATCATAATCACGATCATCATAATCACGATCATCATGAGAACGAGTTAGAAGTATCTAGATCACTTGGTGGCTATGTCGGTTCTTTCAGTGTTTTGGATGATGGGGCAAAACAAGGCTATGGTCCACCTAATTATCAACCGAACAACCCATTGAATTTAGATCAACATAGGACAAGTTTAGAAAACAATGCTCAAGTTTCATTACCTTCTTCTTATGGTGTACCAGAGGTAAATAAACAAATGACAATAATTCATTTGAACAGTAATTAATTTTAAAATTATTATTTTATTAGGTTAATCAATTAGAAATACCAACCAAACAGTATTTACCTGCTATCGAAGCAGCTGCGAAGCTTCATACGAAAACTCTTACGTCTTATTTACAACCAGTCGAGGTTATATTTCAACTTTTTCTTTATTATATATATATATACATTTTAGTTCTATATATATTTTATGTAATAACACGATAACAGATTTTTTTTTCTTTCAAAAAAAGAATCTTATTACAAAATATTATTTCTAGAAGACTGTACCGAATAAAGAAACCGTAAACAACTTGGCAACTTCGGTCAAAGTTACATCTCCGGTTACTTCTTATGGAGAACCTGTCGAAGTTAAAGTAAATGTTACAGCTTCTTTTTAGACTTTTTTTAAAATTCTAATATGTGGGGATTTAATAATGAATTCTATTTCAGACCGTAGAAAATATTCAAAAGCCAACGTTGTACGAAGTTCCATCGATAAAGGTGAGGCGAGTCATTAGAAAAATGAAAAAAAAAAAACCATTAATAATCTAACGTGATGTAATTTTTTTCACAGACCTCGACCGTTCCGTTAGTCGACACAAAAGTTGAACAGGCCGTAGTTCCACAGATCCAAAATCATTTGAAAGAAACGAAGACCGTTCACAATATTCAGGTGAAAACTCAACTGGCCGTACCACAAGGTAAATAAAAAGTTAAAATAAGAATAACTAAATATAATAATATTAATTATAAATA